TTCTAGTTTATCTATCTTAATTACTAACTAGTAAAAACGTTGTAATTTTTTAAAGGGTGAACAAACTAGAGAAGATTATTCAATTTCTCAAAATTTGTAATCGAGTTCGTATATGAATATGTATTATTGATTGCATCTTACAGGCGTAGGCCTCGTAAAATTACGTGAAACACCCTGTATAATGCAATAAGCTCATTAAAAAAATGTACTATTGAAAACAAAATACAATCTTTGGTAGTCATTTTTCTGTCATTTCAAAAAAAAATGTAAAACAACCATTAAGTTAACATTAATGACAATTTCAAATTTTTGGCTTTTCTCTTGTCAAAAATTGACCTTCCACCGTTCATTGCATTGTCTTGTGGAGGCCTTTCCAATTTTTCCTCCTTCAAATTTCTCATATTTCGGTATTTAACATTTTTCAATAATGAATTTCACTGCGACAATCAGTGACAATGATTGACAGTAGTAAAAAATAAGGTTAACCATCATAATGCTTGTTTTACAACTTTATGTCATTCAAGTGATTTTCACGACCAACTGTACAACACAGTAAAAAGTACATAATTATGTTGGTTAAAATTCATTCATTTATTTTTTTTTTCGAAAAAATTAAATTCTATTTAGATAAAAAAAAACTCAGTAGGTTTCAATAATAAATAAGTTTTGCAGAACAAAAAAACATATGTTATTCTTGAAAATCAATAACACTGTAGTATTTTATAAAGCTCCATACTTTTTATTTGTTCGCTTATTCGTTCAAATATCTATAGGAGTATTCTGTCTACTTTGCGTCTCCATCAAGTTTATCATCTAATAATTTAGGTTATTCTCCAAACTTTTAGGTTTAGGTTATTCTTAAACACCGTTGCAGTTTACAATTATTTTATTCACGGGCATTTAGCCCCAAAAACAAAATATTTCTGACTGACTATTAGAGATCCATAGCAACTGGAAAAAAATACATAAATTAGGGACCATCAATCGAAGACAGTTTTTAAAATAAATCTCTAAAATAACAATGACAACGATAAATATAATTTTTTTTTAACCTAATACTTGACCAAGCACCTGTAGAAAAGTTGGAATTAAAGCTAAAATAATACAGTAAAAAATCGAAATATTCACAACTAAACAAAACTAAAAAAATCGTTTAACAGAGTAGAATTCAGAAAACCCTAAAAATTTGTATACCCATGAGAATAACCAATAAAACCCACAAATTAATTTTTAATAGATCTAATAAATTTCGACGGGTTGACATAGAGAGATAATTCACCCGATTATCTTTCTTACTAAAATGTTTAAAAATTCAATTACTAGACAATTAGTAAATACTAAAACAAAAATTTAATAAGTAAAACCGACAAACCAGCTAATTTGGGTAGGCATATTGTACATAATATGTGATATTATAGTGATAATATGTGATACATCTATTTTTAAAATTTTATTAAGAACAAGTAATTGTCAATTTTGTGATCATGTAAATAAAACCTCGAACTAAATAATTTCTGACTTATAATTATAGATTTGCAGTGCTAGTTTCAAACTTCAATTCGACAGTTCACACAACTTGAAGAAAAAACAAACTTGATGGGAAAAAATTTGAAAACAAAAATGAGATTTTTAGTTTTACAACAAATTTTAATCTTTATCTTGTAAAGTTTTTCAATTTAAAATTCTTCATTACAGATCTATTATGGATTTGTTCGGAAAACTCTAAATACAAAACTATAAGTAAGAATGTTGTGGTTTCCCATTGTCAAATATGATTTTGGCACATGATACTGAGTCATCGCTTTGCAGATTAGTTGGCGATAAAAATTAGAACTAAATAAAGTTTCGATCAGCTGCTGTAGTGGTTTATCTAAAAAGTAAACTCACTACGGTGGTACCGCCATTTGTAATAAACTCAAAAAAACTATCGTTTACTTTGAGAGGAAAGCATAATGCACGCCCTTATCCGGAAAAGGTGGTACTTAGAGGAAGCTCATTAAATGGCACTTCCTTAGCTTGTACTGCACATTTACCACATCCTGTCACTTGAATTTTTGTGTGGGCTCCTTACAACGGTTCCGATTTCCTAAATTTTCAGATGCAAATTTATGCAACTGTAATTTTGCAAAAAGTGAATTTTTCATACTTTTGTTATTCAAACCCACTTTTTCTCATGTCAAACAATCGCAGAATTCTCATTATCCGGACCTAGTTTTCCTTTTATAAAAAAAGAAACATGATTCATGTATTCTCCCACGTGTTGGTAAATTGTTAAATTATGTACGTTTGTACAGTGTGTGCTAAAAGTAAACACAGTTGACCATTTTTCCTGGAATAATAAAGATAACGTAATAACCGACGTTGAATTTTTAATTCAGCCAATTTAATGCGTTTAAATTAAATTCGGCTTATTTACAAAATATTTTATCTAGTTGCACGGCATACACTTGCACTAGTTTCAGATTAGTTTTAAATTAATCTAAAAAACTCTTTTTTAGAGTAATTGGCAGCTTACTCATACAATTAAACAAATCGTACAATTAAAAATGTTGTATACATATAGTGAACATGACTCAGAAAAACAAACTCTAGTTCACAGAACCTCCAATAAATTAGAACTGTCAAAACAAGTAAGGTCATTTGTTTGTTAAGTCGAAAGTCAGACAACATTTAAAAATCATAATACGAGTATTTTAATTTCCCCTTGTATATTACAAGAGCTCAAATGAGTCAATGGGGAATTACCACAAAACAGGTCACAAACAATAAAAAATTTGGAAGTCAATTGTGGCTAGAAAAATATTTACAATTTGACAAAATAGGCATTGACCGCATTCTGTTAATGAAGATAATGAAAAAAAAAATTATTGATAAAAATGTGTCCAAAAATTGTTTAAAATCCAGTGTGACTAATTTAATAATTAACAAATAAAAGTCGAAGTAACTTTTGAGGAAGTTATTATTGAAAAATTATTTATTTCTTCATCGCGTTGGAAAATCAAAATTAAATTAGTTCGAACAAATTTCCTCGTAGAAAAGATCTGGTCAACATAGTCAAGCCGCCAAAAATAAAATTACCAGAAAATGTAGTGAATAAAAATAAAGACGTTTTACTTGTAGTCCATTCGAAACAACTACATACAGAAATTTTAATTCATGGTTAATAGAAACGAAAAAAAAAATAAAAAATGACATTCTTGAACATTAAATTTTCAATCAAAGCTTATCTGAACCACGATTTGTTTAAAACAGATTAACAATAGCACACAAAGTTGAAATTATGCGTTTTTTTAACATTTTGTATAATTCTAATATCTTAGCTCATGTCACAGTTTTGGCCCATCATGTTGCTGATTATATTTCCGCTACAATTGTGGTGTTGGTAGTTCTTTGATTAAAGAAATGTTATTTTTATGCACTAGAATTAGTTCCCAAAAATATATCATTTAACCACTAAAATAACAATCAAAATGTCACAAAAGTTTTTTTTGGGTTTAAAAATTTAAAGACAGATTGGTTATATTATCATATTGCTTTTTCTCTAAAATAATTGGTAACTGCAAACTTTAAACGTGTTTAATAAAATAACCCATGTTAACTTTTTTTTCTGCTATACGTAGCTAAATTGTCTATTGTTTTTAATAACAAAGGTATTAATCGAAGAAGTCTTACCCGGAACATTTTGTATATTTAACAATCCCATTCCAAAATATCCCCTAATTTATCATACAGAGTGTTTCACATTATTTTACGAGGCCTGCGCCACCCAAAATTACGACATTTTTAGTTAGTTAGATAAATAAACTTGAATCATATTTATGCCATCTTTTGATAGAACAAATGATAATTGTTTCTGAAAAACTGCAGTTTATGATTACTAATGAAACAGTAATTAGTTTGACAACTACAACTACTGTCATGGGTTTCCAAAAATTAAATAATTAGATGTGTATTTTTTGTATCTAGTGTTTTGTGACTTTGTATATTTGGGTGCGTACATTAGGTGCAAGCCTCGTAAAGTTGTGTGAAACACCCTGTATAAACAATGGTACATACAACATTTTTTAAGATATTTGCATAGATACACATGAAATGGTTGACAAACCAATTTTGTAATTTTCTCGGGTCGAGAAGTATTTGCAGGCATAAAGCTTATCGTCTAATGAATGAATTCGGTTTTTGAACCCATAATTTATGGATTCATCAACACTGGGGAATTTGTGGAACAGAAATATTAGAAAATCCCGGGTGAAGCAGACTACTGTGTGGTTTATCTTCAAGTGTTATTTAATTTAAAATATTAACTTTGTGGGTTTGGCGGCTCATTCGGTAATTAAAAGTAAATAAACACAGATAAGATAAGTGCCACTTACTATTTGATACTGTGGTAGTATTTCATTCATTAAATTAAAAAGTAATACGAGTAGGTGGGAATGAGCACCTTACCGCCCTTAGATAACAGTGGTGTTACGTGTCCTGCTGGTATACATTGCATGATCTGTGGTAAATGAAATAACAAAGTAAGGATGCAAAACAATTCTCTGATTATGAGAGTGATYATTTCGATGCTGGTTTTAWAAATAAATCGGTTCGAGTAAGAAATAGTTTCGGTGGAGATTATGCCGAACTTGTAGGCCTTCTTGGTGCAGCCTTTCATTCATTAGTTTTTGTAAAAGTCGTGTGGGTGTGGAAAACTATTACAAAAATAAATTGCGAAGTGAACGTACCCGATACAACGTATCCCAAGTAAACATTCATGAACAGTGCAAGTATGAATGGAACCATTGATTACTTTACAATGAATGATCATGTATAAGTTATGACATCAACAGATAAGGCAATGTGAATTGAAAAAACAGATTGAAAGAAACTGTGTGCTCGCAGTCATTTAATCGGTAATTAACTTGTGTTCCTTCTAAATATGATCAGTAAGAAAATGATGGCCGACTTAACATCCCCATAGCCCATCCCCATAATTGAGGGTTAAATATTGTACTCACTCCTCAAATGACTCGGTCATGATTCGTCGTGTGAAATATCCTAACGTTGAAAGTCCATGTTTTGTTTGACAACCACATTTTTGCACAACATCAAATCCAACTAAACAACACGGGGACAATCCATTGAACTAAATTAACGTTTGTCAGTTAGTCTGACATCTAATCTACTGCGCGCATGAGCGAAAAAGTGCGCCGATTTACTCTAGTACAAGTTTGAAAAAAGGCGCCAAAATGTAAATTATCTGTTAAACAATGTCAACATACATTTAAAAACTGAAAAATAGTTGATTATTTAAATAGATAATTTTTACGTTTGTTTAAAAATAGAACATTGTAAAACGGAATTAAAGCTATAAAGAATTACCTTTTTCTGATTTCTCACTTTATTTAGCTTTTTAATAACAAATTCATACTTTACTTTATAAGAATACTCAATTATAGTACTATATTTACATATTTGAGAAAAGACAACATGATTCACATAATTTTACGACAATGAGAAACATTAAATGCAACCAGTTATACATTTTTAACTTAAAACAATGAAAAGTAGTAAAAAAAACATATTCAAAACCTTTCGATTTTTTGCTACATAAACGCAATGAGCGGCATTTGCGTTTAAAATTTGTCTCTGTGTATTCATAAGAATACACTCAGTATTTTCAGAAATATTAAAAAACAAGCACTATTAAAACATAGAGTTATAGGTGAAGTTATAAGCCTCCAAATTGGATAATAGTACAGTTATTTATACAATGTATAGGTAGATTACAAAATGAAAAGTTGGGTATGCTACTTTTAAGTAAATTTTGGAAACAAAAAGAATTTAATATAACCTAAAAATTTATATGCTATGTAATAACTAATAAACCAAGAATACTTAGAATTTAAAAAATAATACATTTTATCTAAAAAACAATTAATTTCTATTCATAATCATAATTTAAGAAATATTTACTGTTGCACTCACACACTTCACTTTGCAGTAATTAAAAAAATAAAAAATTAAAACGCACTGACCTTATATGGTATCTTTTCTGCTACCATCTATAGCAATTCTCCTCTTCTTCATAGAACGGACCTACTGAAATAAAAAACACAAAATCAGTTCATTTTGTTATTGAATTAGTTAAAAATATTAAATACAATTCAATAAGTGTAATTTTTCTAAAAAATAAAAAAAGATTGTTGACTTACCCTTTAATCCAGATTCTTGTAGCACGATTGTCTCGCCCATTCCTTCAAAAACTTCTCCCATTGGCACTCACTAACCACTCAAAAAACGCACTAAATGTCTGTTAGGCACTCGAAAATACACAACACACACTCACTGTGTGTACAGCCCTCATTGTAACATAATTTTGCACTGAAAAGTCAAGTAACTAAAAATTAATTCTAATAATAATTATTATTATTTAAGTAACTCGTACGGGAGCTTGGCTAAGACTGACTCGTTATTGTAATAATTCACTGAAATACGACAAGATCCACAAAAACCCATTTCATAACAGTTCCGTTGTAAAAGGCATTTGTTCGGGATTGCGTAATCACGCCATTCGTAACGTCACAAAGTAATTCAAATATTACTCAATTCTAGTTATCTTCACCATGTTTTGCGCCTTATACACAGATTCAAATTACGCGATAATTCAGCACGTGTGCAAATAAAACACTAAAAAGCTACTTGTTGAGCACAAAGTATTTTATAATTAGGTAATTATTTAAGAATCTGTTATTAACAAACAAAATTGTGCAAAATTATGGCGGGAACAATTGGGAACAATCCAACATTCGGTTCGGCGAGACTTCAGGCACAAATTTTGTATCTTTTCTCTAATTTTTAACCGCATTAACGTTAAAATTATGAATTAAGTAATTTATTTTTAAGAAACAATATTTAATTTTTTTTATTATTAAAGTGTGATAATTTATAAAAAATACGTCTTCAAAGTGATTACTAATTTCGGTATAATACTTATTCGGTATAATCCTTGATTCTGCGCAATGTGTTTTCGGTTGCACGTGACTGAAGCGCTTGAAAAAGGAAAAAGAGAAATGAAAAATCGTAATGGTGGTGGCAGTTAGTGGTTGTGTTGTTGGATTTGGATTGAATTTAAATTTCTAAAGAAAAATTGATCATCCATTTTAAACTTCTAAGATGGGAAAACGTAAAAATCAAGCTTTAATTGACAGTGATTCAAGTAATGATTCAACTAGCGATTTAGATTCTGTAAGTGAAATTTTTGATCTGAAAAAATTCTAACCTATACCACACAATTTCAATTTTCATCCACAATTTGCAGTTTATTATATAAATCAATTTCACCATTTTATTTAGATTAAAAAACCTGCAGTGGACGTTTTGTTTAATTACAAATAGTAAAAATATTGCGCGTAAAGGTGCTACAGTTAGCTATTTTTGAATAACACTCATAGTTTAGGATAGTTGTTACTGTTTGTGTCTACAAGATGCTTAAATGATTTGATTTTTTGTTGTAGGAATTTTTGAATTTGGCTAAGAAAAAGAATAAGAAGAAGAAGTCACCAAGATCTAACTCAGATTCAGAATATGAGAGTAAATCTGATAGTGATGACGGTAGAAATAACAAGAAAGCTAAACGGGATGAGTCTTCGGACTCTGAATACGAAAAGAAGGACGATACAAAAAATACCTCAGAGCCTGAAGAAGGTGAAGTATCAGATTCATCAATATCAGATGAGGAATACAATGATGGATATGATGATCAACTTATGGGTGATGAAGAAGATAGAGCCCGGCTAGCTAGTTTGACAGAAAAAGAAAGAGAAACAGAAATTTTCAAAAGAATCGAACAACGAGAATTAATGAAAACACGGTAAGTTTCAACCTTGTAAAAGTTGTTTCACATTGATGATTTATAATTGCTTTATACAGATTTGAAATTGAGAAAAAGTTGAGGCAAGCAAAGAAAGCAGAAAGGGCAAGGGAGAAGCCACACAAGCACAAAGACAAAGAAAAGAACAGGGACCATAGTAAACTTCAGACAGATTTCAGTTCAATAGATCATAAAGAACGTAGCAAAGAAAGGAAGAAAAATATTGAGGAAAATCGTGGCAAAGTTGACAAACGTGTCAACGCCATGGCCGAACTGAAAGCGAGAAGAGAAGATAAGCAAAAACGAGAAGAAGCTGAAGAAAAACGTAAGGAAGAACAGAGGAAAAAAGAAGAGGAAGATGCTCTGCACACAAACAAAAGCGCTGTAAAACTAAAAGCTTCAGATATTTATTCAGATGACAGTGAAAGTGAAGGTAATTCAACTAACAACTATTGATTGCACTTTAGTTTTTCCGTTATTTAATCTCTTCTAAGTTTTTATTTAATAATGTTTTTTTGTTTTGTAAATTTAGGATTTTTACAGGAGGTAAAAGTTCACCTCAGCCACCAAGACAATCTGCGGGGTCTGCCAGATCTCGTTCTTCATCTAGTTCAAGTTCGAGTGATAATGAACAAGAAGAAGAGGAAAAACCGGCTTATGTACCTACAAAACTTGATATGAATAATATTCGGTTATCAAGGCACAAATTAGAAAGATTTGTACATATGCCGTTCTTCGATCGTATTGTTAAAGGATGTTACGTAAAAATTGGTATTGGGCAACATAATAATATGCCCGTCTATCGGGTAGCCGAAGTAATAAATGTATATGAAACTGCCAAGATTTACAATTTGGGCAATACCAGAACAAACAAGGTAATTGAGGGTTTGTGTTTGATATTTTTAAGATACAATATTGTACTTCAGTTTGTAACAATAGCTGGTAAAATGCATAATTAAGATGTTTAGCAGATTGTTATTTATAATACTGTCTTTTTATTATTTGTGAAGGGCAAAAGTAATTTCATACGAATTCTAAGTTTATTAACATTTCTGTCCACAGAAATATATTAATTAATAACAAAGTATCATAAAAAATCATGTAGTTTCTGCAAATATTTTTTATGTGAAGGCTATTTCAACTAATACTTTAGAAAATAATATTTCTGTTATTTACAAACAAAATCAGAATCACTAGTATTTTCTGTTGCAACTTTAATATTGCAGATTTCATTCTTTAGAAGCAAAAACACGTTGGAGACTTGTATTTTTCTATTCTAAAAAAGCGTGTACCATTATGAAACTACTAATAAAGAAATCATCGGTTTTTTTAGTATCTTTACAATAACTTTTCTAGATCAAAATACAAGTAGTTGTTCTTTATTACTGAAAAAATATGACGTCTAATTGTATCAACAATTCCATAGTTGGTTAATTAGGATGTTTATCAAAAATTTAACAGTACAAAGAAGTACATTTTTTTAAGAAGTTCATTAAGCAACAAAAGGTATATTAAAACCTTTATCACAATACAAAATTTTCAAAATAGAGTTGGGAAACAATGACATCACTTTTGTTTCTTTTTTTATGTAACTACTCGTATTTTAGTCTTAAACTTGAGATAATTCAGCGTCACTGATTGTTGAATTTTGAGGAAATTTAATCTAAACTGCCAGTTTCAACATTCTTATAATTTTTCGGCTAAGAGCTTTTCCGTTAAAATACTAAAAATAAATAAAATAAAATAATATAAAAAATGCTAAAATTAAATTAAAAATAAGTAATGTTATTACTAATAGAAGAGTATATGATTTATGTTTTCACCTCTTCGAAAGACAAACAGTTGTTAAAAATATCAAAAACAAACAAAAACAAGTGTCAAATTTTTCTTTAGATTTTGTGAATAATCGCAAATTAAATTTACAGAAAAATTAAGCTTGTTCTTGCATTTCTTATTCACGATGTACAGAGTGGTTATAAATGATTTTCATCTAGCCAGCTGTGAATTTTCCATGTAAAAAAAATGCCGCTTTACGAAAATAGGGGCATCTACTTGTTTTAACTCAAAATTAAAAAATCGTCGTTTACTAAGCGTCCACTTCGAAAATAGACTTCAATTATAAACTTGTTTTCTTCCCAAGTATACATCATTATCAATTATTATTGGAAATTAGTTGAAACAATAAAAGTTTAATTAACAACCATTTATTATTAAATAATAAGTGACACTAATGACAGAACTAGAGCTTTCAAAAAAGTAGAGCGGCACAAATAAAGTTACATGCAAATAATTCCAAAGCTGGCTAGATGAAAAACATTTATAACCACTCTGTATTATAAAATACTTGCATATTAACGCTTAAATGTTGTTTCCTTAGGGTTTACGAGTACGACATGGAAATCAGGAGCGAGTTTTTCGACTAGAATTTGTATCCAATCAAGAGTTCACAGAGACTGAGTATCACAAGTGGATAGAGGCCAGTACGGCTGCTGGTAATGCCTTACCAACAAAAGACCATGTTCAACAGAAACAAGCAGACATAAAGGAAGCCTTAAATTATGAATTTAACGAACAAGATATTGAACGAATCGTAAGTAACACGAGGACAAACAAACTTTTTTCTATTGTAACATTCAACTATTAGATACGAGAAAAAGAGAGGTTCAAGCCGAATCCTCATAATTATGCTATGCGCAAAACTCAACTGATGAAAGAAAGAGACTCAGCCCTGGCTCGCGGAGACGAAGATTTGGCTAGAGAACTAACCCAAAGGATCTCTGATTTAGAAGAAAGAGCTTCAGAATTGGACAAAATGAGGACATCGACAATTTCAAGTATCTCATACATCAACGACCGAAACAGAAAGAGGAACGTGGAAGAAGCCGAAAAGGCGATTATGGCTGAGGTTAAGGCAAATAAAGGCAAAAAGGTTTGATTTAATCACTTTAGAAGTTAAATTTGTATAACAATAACAATTTGTAATTTTTAGATTGATGATCCGTTTACTAGACGTTCAACAAAACCAAGAATGAATTTCAAAGCAGCTCCAGAAGAGAAAGCGGAAGTGGTGGTTGAGAAAAAGCCAGAGAAGGTCGCGGTGGAAGTGGAAAACCCGAAAGTACCAACTCAACCCGCTCAAGTTACTCAGGATGATCTTTTTTCTGCCCATGACTTTGATATTAAAATTGATTTAGATGTTCCTCTGCCAGGTACTAGTTTAAATTTAATTGAAGCTTTTCTAATGTGGAATTTTCAGTGGCTAGCGTAAATGTTACACCCAAAACAGTAACAAAGGACCTTGCACCCAGACGAAGCTTGAACTTGCAGGATTATAAGAAGAAGAGAGGACTTATATAGTATTTATTAATTTATTATATTTTTAAGGACAGAATAAATTTTAGACCTTAAATGTTATACTTAAATATTTTTTATTATTAATTACATTTTGTTTCGATCTAGTTGGAAACGCGTTGTATTATTTTACAATGATTCTTAAGGAATGAATTAATTCTGTACTTTAGTAGCCTGTTGTTAGATCTGTTTGTAATTACGAATTATTTCACAGATTTGAAATAATAGACAAACAAGGAATTCCAGTGTAATTTTATAATACCTAATCTTGCTCCCTCTGTTTTTGCAAATTACTGGGTATTATTAATATTAATAATACAGAATGATAGGTGACTCATTGCTACATTGCTTCCAAAAAAGGTAATAACAATGGAATTATGCTGTAGCAATGACCTTCCGAAAATATGTTTAATGTTTGAGAAAAGATGTTCAAATTTAGTAAAATGCTTGGTAAGGTATTTTTTGCTGATAAGAGTCTTTTCGATAAAATCATTGATTTTGGGGGCGTGGCGCCACTATTCAAGTAGTGGCGGCCATATTGGAGTACCTCCTTTTACCATTTATGGGCATTTAAGAAAACCGGCTTTTACATTGGTCGAAAAGCATGACTCATTTCTTCCTCCAAACGTAATCAAAAATTTGAATTAGATTGTCAACGGTTTTATAAAACCGTCAGAGGTTGACAAAATTGTCAAAAAACACTCCGTTCCCCGAAATAAATTGTTTAAACATTTCAAAGCGACTTAACTCTCGTGTTTGAAAAAGCCCGCAAAGCATACGCAGTGAAAAATAACGCGGTCGCCGAGCGTGAATTTCGCCAAAGTGGTGTTGTTTTCGGTGGCGGTTTCTCAGAAAGTGGGTAATTAGAGTTACTAGCTGGAAATTAATCGGCGAGTGAGCATTTATTTAGTTATATTTAGCAAAATCGGCTGTGGTGTAGTAATTGAGTTCTTATGCGCCTGCGCACTGCTTACATTGCCGGTAGATCAACGTCCGCTCCAGACCTCCAAAGAGAACTAACAGCACAGTCGTTTTTAAATCAGTACGTCTGGCAGTTGAATATTGTGTAAATTATTGTACTTCTTAGCTAATTCAAAATGGTAAGTGCTCTTGAAAATCGCTATTTTTGCACCCTCCCGGCGCGCATCTCGCCATTATCACCGTTAGAAATTTTTGACACCGCTAATTTTGCGCTGGCGGCCATGTTAAAGATTCGCATTCATTGCCAAATATAAGAATTTTTCACACATGCATCGGGTTCTGCTTCCTGCGCGGCCAAATTTGGGCAAACGGCCGATTTTGGCCAAGTTTCGCCGCAAAAATCGGCCTTCCGGCCAGCCTCGCCCATGCGAATTTGTCATGTTCATGCATCAACGTGTCTGCAAAATCTTCGCGTTTCTGTCCAACAGTCCAACACCTATGATTCATTCTTTCACAAGAATGCCGCCCAAGGTTGTACTGAGAAAACATTGACAATGCACCCGCTTTTCACTCATGGGGACGTGATTACAGGGATTTATATGGATACGTGACACCCGATATCCTTTCCCTTTTTATTAACGCACTCACGGCCGAAAACTTGCAACAAACGCAAGAAATCGGCCACAATTTATCAGAAAACGCTTAAAATATGCTACATGTGACCACTATTTATAGAGCTGTGTAATATTTTAGCTCTACCAAATTTGGACGAGTATTGAAACAACAAAGTCGCGTGTGGCATACAATTTACAGTTAGACTATTTTTTTTTTTTTATTATAAAGATCCGTCAATTTCAATCCTTTATATTTGTATAAAAAAGTCATTGGGAGGAAAACGAATCACTCATAATTCATTGTATTGTTTATTGATAACACATTTCATACTTATCATTTGTTAATCACCAAACCACATTCAGAATAATCCATGCGAAGTTTACTTAATGAATTTATAAATTATGTTGATTAAAACAAAATTAAATTTAACCGAAAACGCGAACGAAGTTGCTGTTCTCCTAATTATTATTTATTAGTCACAAAAGTTTTAGATAATTTAGCAAATCAGTTATTTCTTAAGGAAAAATTTGGTTTTATAGTCAGTCTCATGTCTTTAAGCGGAATGACGTAAGACTAGCAAAAATGCAAATAAATTAATTGAAATCATAATAAATGTTGACTAAGAATTTTTTTTATAACATTAGTTCTGATTTAGAGTATATTGATTCGTAAAGACGTTCTTTGAAAGATTGTGAAAAATTAAAAAGTGGTGAGTTTCTTGAGTTCAGACTGGGAGATTGTTTTAGTTTTTATTCATTTTAAATAACGAAATTTGTTTAAATTATGAATCAATTAGAAAAACTGCTGACAAAAACATATTTTGGCTTTTACTTTTATGTCCTTTTTATAAACTGTATAATATGTATCGTTTGTGTAAAATATCTTTGATTTGTGATAAAACCTATCCATTCTTGTATGTCTGCGACGATAAAATATTTGAGTAGATAAGATGATAATACTGCACCTTTATTTTCTGGAATCAATCACAATTTTAGAGTCACAATGTAGCGTTTAAAACGTTTTCATAAAAAATGACAAAATGTTGCATTTATTTGACATCGATAAATTTTAAGGGATTTTTTCGATTTGGAACCACAACAAAACCTTTGGATTACTAGAGTTTGCACTTTTAATATACTCTTAAATTTTAACGGTACATTATAAAACACAGAATAGCACCTGACATCTGTGATTCACGTTAGTAAAAAAACATTTCCTGTTTTTGTTAAATCAGAATTGGTGTTAGAATATGACGTTTAAAAAAGCTTTGCATTGTAATACACATATGCTGTTTTAATCAAAACAAATTAACGTTGAAAAATTTAAACGCATTTAATGATTTCCGAATTATCATCATAGTAAATATCTATACAGATGTAGTTTGATGACTAATGAGTATATTTTTGTATTTTTCAATTTCCTGTTTTTATTTTTATACATGATACATTTAAATGTTAATTATTTCGTAAGAATTGGTTCATAATTAACGATTTGAAGAACATTTCCCGTTCACTGAATGAAACTAACTGTTATTCCTGTTAAAAAGAAATTTTTGGTACAATTATTCAGAAATCAAACTTTTGCCCAATCTTTTTTTAACTGAATATTTAATTTACTATAGGAAGAACGTTTATTCATCTTAAAATTTGGTCTTAGTAAGTGTGTGCCAATGCCATTAACGTCATTGAGAGCTGTCAATTTCATAAATGAATTTGCCAGACCGACAGCATTTTGCCTCAATGGAGGCATGTAATTGAAGATTGTTTAGTTTTCAGAGTTGACTTATTTGTGTTTTCTGTTTACAGGCATCGGGGGTAACAGTTTCTGATGCGTGCAAGACAACGTACGAAGAAATAAAGAAAGACAAGAAACACCGCTATGTAATTTTTTTTATTAAGGATGAAAAACAGATTGATGTGGAGGTCATAGGTGCGCGTGATGAGGAATACGACCAGTTCCTTCAAAATTTACAAGCGGGAGGTGCCGGCGAGTGCCGTTACGGCCTTTACGATTTTGAATATATGCATCAATGTCAAGGCACTTCAGAATCTTCCAAGAAACAGAAGCTGTTCTTAATGTCCTGGTGCCCGGATACCGCCAAAGTTAAGAAGAAGATGTTGTATTCCAGGTTGATTGCTTTATTTCTGTGCGTTTCTTTTTAATTGAAATTGTTTTTTTAGCTCATTTGATGCTCTCAAAAAATCATTGGTAGGTGTACAGAAGTACATTCAAGCGACGGACTTGTCTGAAGCTAGCCAGGAGGCTGTAGAGGAGAAGCTCAGAGCCACTGACCGTCAGTAGTAACCTGTTGCTATTCTCCCTTAAGTTACGACTGTCTGTCTACTCAACGCACCGACCTACCAAGGTGTATTATTTATATAAGTATTTGAATATTTAATAAAGCTTCATTTTTAAATTGTATCCAAAGTGTTTTATTACTATTGTAATGTAGTGTAAACTGTAAAAACATTGTGTAATTTAATGGTAAATCAATTAAAAACACTTTTCATCAAGAAAAAGCATTTTGTGTCAATTGTGTGCTCTACACAAGTTGTTTAAATTGTCATAAAATTGTACACCTTGCAAAGGTAAGTTTAAGTTCAAAACTTGTAAATCAATTGCCAATTTTAAATAAACATTAATTTTTTTCATTGTGTATGTCTTTATTTATTAACGTGCTTTCGAAATAAGTACTAATAAATTATTCACTCAAGGCACAGTTCCATACAAAAATATATTGAAGAACCACATGTTGAAAGTTGACAACAATTTCTTTGGAAAACTTATCTAATCACGGACGTGGCCGGTGGCAGTTTTTATTTACAGAAAATAATTACAACAAATAAAAACATACAAAACATTCATCAAGTATATTGCATTTGTAACAATTTTACTGATGTAATAGATGAAACGTTCTAAAAATGAGACTAGTGAAGGCATTAAACTACTCCACATCTTCTTCCTGCATTGTAGGAGTCGCTTTAACAATTCGAGGAGCAACAGCCGGCAGTCTTTGGATAAGAAGATGAAACGCTTGTGGCTGCAAGGTCTGTTGCAGGAGATTAAGCAAATCATTGGGCTGTCCACACACAGCCACGGCATTCCCAATGTGATCAACCCCATTCTCGAGATCACCCACAGCGAGCAACTCCTCCCCTAACTGGATTTCTTGCAAGAAGAATCTCTGCACAGCCTCGTGGTCCTTCATGTCTGGGAAAACGGTTGTGCGTTTGTTTGAGGAGGCTGCCATCTTCTTGGCGCGTCGTCCTAAAATTGTTTAAAACGTGCATTTTACATAACCACACTTTCGGCTTGTGTACTTACGCTCATGTAACTTCTTTTTAAAGTCAGGGTCGTTGTGTCTTTGGTGGTCGAAATATACGCAATACCCTAGAAATAATGTGCCGCAAATCCCTGCCGCTATCCCGAGGGCAACGCGCGATGTTATCATTTCCATTTCTTCCTTCAACTTTAGATTTTTACACACAAAATGTTCAACACCCCATAACGTTACACCATGAAGAAATGAAAAAAATGACAGAACTCGGATTTTGACAATTTACGATAATCGAGGATGGCTCGGCTGTGTCCGGCCCCCGAACACAATTCGCAAACGGGATTGGTCCCCGATTCGAATTCAAATTCAGCCCCCCCGCCAAAGTCAAAAATAAAACCACGATTTCATTAAAATTGTGCAATTTCTAATATCCAATTGAATTCGTTTACAAATAAGAATATATTTTGTCGTAGTGATCGATTATTGCATAAAAATCAATTACGAGTCAATGATCCGGATTCGAGTGCTAGCCTTGAATTTTGAACCACATGAGACATGAAAACAAACGTTTCACATTTCTTACATGTTTTCGACACCTTTTTCTAATTTTCCTGATTTTCCCTCCCGTAGGTCGATCTATTTCTGCTGATGCTGCGCACGAAGGTTTTTGTGATCAGCTGTTTGTGGTTTGTGAAATAAATCAATTATTTTCCATATTTGGTAAAAGCGTCTTGTGATTTCTGTGTACAAATCCAAGTGTGTTGATGTCACATAGTTTATGACATTGACACTATACCCAAAAGTGCAATAAATCATTAAAATTCAATGGTAAGACTGATTCATACAAAATAACAACCCCATAACACTTTATTTTAGTTCATTTTGCGATAAGTACAAAGATTAGTTGAAAATGGCACATTCCTCGCAAGGAATTTACTCGCCTTTGCCCCAATCAATAAGCGACTCCGACTCTGAGGAGCTTCACATGGACGCTGTATGTCCCAACTATGTAAACAAAAACGTGCAAAACGGCAATAGTTTGGACCACAAACGCAAATTCCGCAACAATTCTGCAAATTTCATTCAACTTGGAGATGATCTACTTCACATTAAACGGGGGAGTCCTAGGATGTCCACTCTGCGCAAAGCGGCTTTCGTTTTATCAATAATTCTCTGTTTGTTGCCTATTATTGTATTTCTCTTCTTTATACCCTGTTCTGTCTCTCATACTTGTCCAATCAAAACCACCAACTGGGAAAATAAGCAAGAGGATGTTGAACTGAAGGGCAAAATAAACCTAGTGCAAGGTATAAACCAAAATCACTTGAATCTTGCAATTTTATTTCAAGGCGATATTCGTTCCCCAAAGGTGCTAAAAAACGGGGCGATTTCGTTCTTAGGTAGTAGCGGAAGTGTGGCTTGGTATTTTTGACAGGAGGTTGTTCCTATCAAGTTAGATTGTTCTTTGATTGATGTTGATGATAACGGTATTAATGACTGTCTGCTTCTTGATGAAAGAGGCCTGAAAGCAATTGAGACCATATCGGGACAGGGGATTTGGCACGCGCACAGCCATGAAGAAAGAACAACAATCAATCATTTAGACTTTCCCGTCAAATTGCCTGATTACAACTCTGACAACGTGAATGAGTTGATCTCAATTTATAAGAGGAGAAGTCTTATGATTTTCTGTGGTCGCTCGGGGAAGGCCCTCAATAACATCCCTGTTGATAATTGCAATGAAATTAATAATCTGCAAAGTAGGGACAATGTTCTTGTTTTCGCCTGTTTGCGTGATGATTTTACCGAGAATGTGAAAATATCTCTTGATGATATAAAAAGAAGATACGGTAATACATCTTTTGTGATATTGCCGGTAAAAGACGACTTTACAGACGGTGACCGGAATAGTTTCGTAGTCGGAAATCGCAAATTACTCGTCAATAATGTCGGTATTTGTCCCAATTGTCGTGCAAGTATTGAATTAATTGACCTTAATACGCGAAAAAAGCAGACTTGGTATTACAACAACGCTTCCGTTTTGAATCCCAAACTATTTCATTTTCAGGCGACCAAATCGAATTTACAGTTGTTTAAAGGTCACATAACTGGTTTCATTTTGAAAATTTGGCAGTGGATAGATACGAATATCCCGGATAAGAAATTAATGAGGTCATCAGAATCAAAAAGACACGCTTACAGTTCAAAAAATGCCTCTTATGTCACGAATACTGTAACTGAAAGGGTTGTATTGATTACGTTTAATGAGAGTAATGTTCATGTTATTAATGCTAGTTTGATTGAGGTAACTCAGTTGTGTGTTCCGTTTTATGATGACTATATTTGTCAACCTGACTTGCACAGTCAAGAGAATTCGATTCTGGTTGGTGATTTGGACCAAGATGGGAGTCAAGAATTGATCAGTTATTCGAGTAGTTTTGTTAAGAGAGAGGATATACAGGACTGGTTGCTTATTTCAAATATTACGGTAATTCGTTTAGAAGCCGAGTTACCCAAATTGTATGAAGAGAAGTAATTGTGGCACATATAATACACTAATATACTATTTTGCTAACATTTTAACCAGCTGATTAATCTTAACACCAAAGATTTGGGTTTTGTACTTAACACTGGAGTAATATATTGTGTTTTTCGTCACGTTTTACTATTAGATCTACTGTGAGACTATTTAATATAAAATGTACTTGTCCTTGAGGAATTTTTAAAAATGTAACTTATTTATGTGCCTGTTGACACCACTAATAATTATTACTATAAATGAATTTGTCCGTTTTAAGAAATTTATTTTTGTTAGTGTGTGGACATAAAGCAAAAGTACCATACTCGACTTTATTATTTCTACCCATTTCATTCCCTCTGTTAAAATGCACAATTTTTTCTGTGATCATAAACGTCTGGTTTGTTCAAATAGCTTCGAAGAAACTTTCAATTCCACTCTTCATAGTCCGGTCAAATTAGTCATAAAAATAGTGGTCAAATAACGAAAATTCCGACAGAGCTAAATTTTGGTGGAGACCTTGGGTATACCATTAGAAATAAAGTGTCAAAAGTCCCCATCGATCCCATGTGTGCTAAAAAAGTTATTCGGGGTCAAAGGTCAATATTTGACGTTTTTTAGATTTTCTTTTCGAAAACGGCAAGTTTTATCAAAAAAGTAGCTCAGACGAAAATTATAGATCTTAAAATTATCTACAAAATGGTCTTTATACTTTTTTTCCAAGAATCACCATTCCTGAGATATCGCGATTTTAAAAGTTGAAGGAGTAACGTTCTACATCATATGCACATACAGAGTGCGCCAGAACTCGCGCCCCAAAGACAAATGCCATGTAGGGTAAGGTACCAGGAACATAAAAAAAAATTTTTAAAAATCTATCTATAAAAATTTCGAAGTTATGAGAGTTTAAATTTTGCACTTTGACTCTTATTTATTTCTGTAGGATAAATAATTTTCCACGTTTTTTTGCTACAGGTTATTAGAAAAGGAAACAAAGAAGCTGTATCCTAAGTTGTAACTCTGTTTAATATTATTTGTAGCTTTTATTGACAAAATTTTTGTACCTTTATCAAATAATTATAAAAAAACATATACAAGGTCATCAGTATTATTAAATAGACATAAAAAAATGACAAATGTCAAAAAATAAATTTCAAAATTTTTTGACAGATAGTATTTTTTAAACATTTTTTCAGTACTCTGGGGACTACCCAATTACTCCCTTTCAAGGAAATGCGCGATTTTTTGAACAACCTGTATGTATTACCAAATAAATTCTTTTTAATTCTAATGGAATCGAGATATTTATAAGTTTAATGAAGTAGAAGAAAAATTTCAAGTAAAATAAGATACCAGGAACATAAAAAAAATGTTTAAAAAATTTTATCTGTCAAAAAAATTTGACATTTGTTTTTTGACATTTGACTATTTTTTATGTCTATTTAATAATACTGATGATTTTGTATATGTTTTTTTACAATTATCTAGTAAAGGTACAAAAGTTTTGCCAATAAAAGCCACAAATAACATTGAACAGAGTTACAATTTAGGACACAGCTTTTTTGTTTCTTCTTTTAATGGCCTGTAGCAAAAAAACTTGGAAAATTATTTTCCCTACAGAAATAAATAGAGTCAAAGTGCAAAATTTAAACTCTCATAACTTTGAAACTTTTATAGATAGATTTTTTTTTAAATTTTTTCTATGTTTGTGGTACCTTACCCTACATGGCATTTGTCTTTGAAGCGGGAGTTCTGACGCACTCTGTATGTGCATACCATGTAGAACGTGACTCCTTCAACTTTTAGAATCGCGATATCTCAGGAATGGTGATTGTTAGAAAAAAAGTATAAGGACCATTTTGTAGATAATTTCAAGATCTATATTTTTTGTCTGGGCTACTTTTTTGATAAAACTTACCGTTTTCGAAAAAAATCTAAAAAACGTCAAATTTCGACCTTTGACCCCGAATAACTTTTTTAGCACACATGGGATCGATGGGGACTTTTGACACTTTATTCCTAATGGTGTACTCAATATCTCCACCAAAATTTAGCTCTGTCGGAATTTTAGTTATTTAAAATGTTTATTTTGACCGGACTATCATGATTTTGTAAAAGCTGAAAATAGCAAGTTCGTCACAATTTCAGCAGATTCTAAATCAAAATTGGACTAAACCACTGTTTCTGTACTTTTCACCTGAGTTATGTTTTTTGTATTTGTTTCGCTCACACGCCACAAATATGTCTAAAACTGGGTTTATAGTATAAATTGACAGTGTTTGATTTATTTAACTCGCCTTATCAGATTAGCGCATATGTCACTATAATTTTGAATATATCGAATTTTGCCTCAGTTATTAATTATCCTATAATAAAAGTTTATTACTCTATCTTTCCCACGCACCATATGTACACTACCATATGGTGAGATATGTCAATATTATGGGTACCCCGTATTATCATCCGCACTTGATACCTCAAACTTGTTCATTTAAGTGGAAAATCAGAAAGCAAACAAAAAAGCAGATAAGGCCTGAATGGTTAAGTATATAAAGGATTTTCGATTTATTTACGAATATTTAATTTTGTTTTATGCAATGGAGCCGGTCCTAAAAAATTGTGAAAGAAAAGATGTGAAGTCTAGAGTGAATAAAGTGAAGTTGAGACGATTTAAAGCGAACGCCAGAGAGAGAAATCGCATGCATGGATTAAATGCCGCTTTAGACAAACTGAGAAAGTAAGGTTTATGAAATTATAAACAATTAATTATTTAAAATATTTTAGTCGCATGCCTATTCAACAAACACATTCAGATCTGAGTTCTGCTCCACAAAAACTGTCTAAAATTGAAACTCTACGCCTGGCGAGGAACTACATTTTAGCAATGTCTCAAACATTGCAAGAAGGCCGACCAATGGAATTGACGAGGTTTATTAAAATTTTGAGTCGAGATTTAAGCCAAACAACTGCAAATTTACTAACAGGAACTTTGATGGGAAATGGTGGAAAACATTTAAATTATCGGAGAATGTTTATACCTATACCTGAAAATAACAGTGGTTGCAGCTATCAAGACAGGTATAATAATCATAATTGTAATTATAGTAACAATTTTCCACCACAGCCTTATATTGGTGGCAATTTTTACAATTCCTATTGGCCAGGCTACAGGTTTGAATGTGAGTCAAATAGTGATGGAAGAAATATGAGTAATTTTAGGTGTTGGGAGAATAATCGTGGGTACAATGAACACTGTGTGTACAATGTTTGTCAGTGATATAGTAAAAGTTAACAAAATCTAGTCAAAAAGGCTGTAAAATTGTATCTAATAAAAGTTTGTATTTTTGTACGTTGAAATCGAATTTAACCGTTCTTTTAATTAAAATTTTTATTTTATCCTACTGCAAAAAAAGACAAACAGGAATATGTAGTCTCACTATTTGCAGAATCTTAAAATAAATCTACAATTAACAAAAGCTTAAAGCAAGAAGTACTTATTTAAATTATTTTTGTGTACCGAAGTATAGAAACATCTCTAGGGCTTACTTATTTCATTTTAATGTTTCTAGTTGGGTTTTTTGAAACAGTGTACTCCAACTAAGAATTCGACTTTTATGCTTTTCTTATGTCACAATACAAATTTCTAATCTTGGTTTGTTTTATAAATGACTATTTTTTTGTAAAAGAAAGCTTCTAATACCTTTGTTATTAAGAACATGAGAAAGGTAGCCAATTAAAAATCAAGAAACAATCAATTAAAAAGGAAAAAAAACGAACTAATATACAATAAAGGTTTAAAAAAAATAGCCCTATTTTTCCCATTTCTATGTTAATTGCTATTTTCGAAAAGAAAATTGGTTATAAGTAATTAAAGGAGTGGATGATTCATAAATTCTCGTAAATTATAGTTAAAATTTATTACCTTGAAGGTCAATATTTTCACATAACACTAATTCAAGGAATCAAAAATCTTCAAACCTCATCTGCGTTGCCATCATAATCTTCATCGGCAGGATCATATTCACCATCTTCTTCTGGAGTATCGTGATCATCCTCTTCTTCTTCTTCAACGTCTTCACCCTCGTTTGGTTTCTCACCCTGATCTAATTCCGACTGCACTTTCCCTGAATTAGACGCTGAAATGACTTGATCGAACTCATCGGGTGCAGTAACTGAAAGTTTCAAAATTTTTGCATAAAGCTCCTTAACTGAATCTTCTTTTTCATCTTCGCTGTCAGTTAATACAATGTAATTTACAGTATTCTCTTCAATGTCACTAAAATGTATGTTTTCTTGAAGACAATCACTGCTGCAATCTGACGTAATAATATCATCAAGTTTGGTGGTGTCCATTGCATCATCGGCGCTTTTTTTGTGCTTTTTGTCAAAACATCGGCGTTTCATGGGGATATCACAGTAGGGACAAAAAATTGGGTAGTACTCTTTAGCAATTTCCTTGCTTACGACACATTTACAAAACGGGCACTTGTAGCCAGGGGTGAGATGTAGAGGCATTAATGAAATGGCACATCTGCTGTCCGCGTGAAAAGGTACACACGACGAACCTATTATCTGTGTGACAATTAAGAAATTTTTCATGCTACATTTATGGATTAGAAGTCATAAATTAGAAAAAAAGGATATTTTCTCCACACCAAAGACATTGGGGCATCGGTGGGTATTGCAATTCATTGGCTATCTTTACCACGTTGAATATTTCATCAATAAATGTTTCTCCCAAGTTTGCTTTTGTTAGTACATTCTTAACAACCATTTCTTTCAGAAAGAAGTTAAGTAAGTCCAAACTTTGCATTTGAAACAACGAAAGCTTTTTCTCAGAAAAATAAATATTTAGCAACTTTGTCATTCGTTGTACCACTAATTTAATATCTACAGCATAATTCAGTAAAACATAGGCTTTGATATGATATTCTTCAACTCGTGAAATCATCGGATATATTCTTTCTGATAATTTCGCAATCCATCGCAATATTTTTAGTTTTAATAATGGCAAAGTGTCGTAATTTAAATTACGATCAATGCCTCGCCAAGGAAATACTTTTTCTTGCAAACAGTTTACTCTAACAATGACGATTCATTTAAAATTTCATTGCCACTAAAAAAACTTACCTTAAAGTTTCAAAGCAGTCCCAATAATCCCTAATACTAGGTGCTCCAATATTCATTAAAGTTTGGAAGGGGTCTTTAGCTTTGTTGCTGAATACAAAAAAGTTTACGAAATTTTTTCCTCGACTTATGTCTTTTATTTGGCAAGGGTATGCAAGTATACCAAGGAAAACTTTATTTGGCGAAAATAAAAATCCATGAGTTCTGTATTTATTGGTGTCTATATCCAGCTGTATTACTTTTTCAGAAACACATACTTCATTTTCGACCACTGATAATTCTACTTGTTTTAATTGGCCACATAAACTAAGAACCAGCAAAATATTCTTTTCATAATGTAGCACACCTAAAAATTTAAGTTACTTGAGAATTTCTGGATGCATAATTTTTACCAGTGATGTATAAGTTGCCAACTTGTATCAACTTTCCTCCAAAAACCTCGCCATAGCAATTAATCGCATAAATTTGAAAAAAATTCTGCTTCACTGCAATCATATACGTTATATTCTGGTAGTTGACAATACTTAATTTGTCCACTTTTAAATCACTTTCAGAATTAAAAACCACTTCATCGCTAAACTTAATTTTATCTGTGGATAGTTTTGACACAGAAATTGCGGCGATGTGACCATTAACATCACCAAGTGATAATCCACCAGCTAAAATTTTATCGTGTCAATTGATTTCTTTGTAATTCAATGTTTATTTACCATCTGATTTTCGGCAAAACCAATGCAATGCTGTAATTTTACCCAACTTGGTGTTATATCTTTCTAAAAATTGCAATTTTGACTCGTAAATTTCACTAGCTTTGCGTTCTAAGAATCTCCAAGCTGTGATTGCACCATCTCTATGACCGACAAATAAAATACAACAAGCTTTTCTATCTTTAAGTATAACATGGCTCCATGTAAAAGCTGAAAGTAGTTTTGTTTTAATGAAAAAACAGGAAATTTAGCTTGTTTTACCAGTGGGTGCAACCAAGTCAACTCTTCGCTTCAATTCAATCAAAATATTGTCTGCATTGGGAGTTTCAACTTTTTTCCAGCTTCGCCTGTAATGTTCTGTAACATCTCTAGAAAAATTCGCGGCACGTATATAATTGCTAATTTCGTTCTCATCAGTAACTTCCACAAATACTTCAATATTGTTGAGGTTTGTTAAAATGGCCAAAGCACCATCTGTTTTTTCTACAACTCCCCGTGGAGACCACATTGCCTGAACGGGTCTTGGGGGCGTAGATGTAACATCAATGGTATTTCCTGATAAACCAACATCCAGAACCGCCTCATACAAATTATGTCGAGTCAAATCATTCAAAAAAGAGGACAAATCTATATCTAAATTTTCACAAATGTTTGCATCCGATGGTGTAATAAGATCCTTCTTAAAGGCAAACTTTGGGAATATGCTCTCAACTGCACCTTTTAGGGTCAAGATACAAACTCCATTCTCCAATAGCAGGAAAATTTTTCCATCTTCTGAATAATCACAGGCGAAGTTTGCATAAACATGATTGTTCAGTTGGATGTGGTCAAGTAGTTTTAATTGCACACTCATGTTTTTTGTCTACACGGAATTAATCACACATTCTGGTTATTACAGAAGTTTTTTCATGCTCATAGGATGTTGATTTTTGGTTTTTATCAATTTTAAAAGTGGAACATAAAACACAAAGTTTGAGGTTAAAATAAATAAACACTTGACGTTTCGAAGCCGAATTCCTAGACGTGCGACGACACCGGTTACAGATTGATCTTATGTTCGAAAAATTTTAAATATAAAAATTAATTAAAGAAATTGTGAAATGCACAAATAAAAAAGAAATTATTAAGGTATAGTAAATATTTATGATCTTGTAACAGTTACAGTTATTTTTTAGTTGATGAGATGCATTTTCTGTATTATGTTTGTGAGCCTGCAACATATTCCCCTAATTACAATAAGAGTTTGAAAACCAAGATTTTAATAAATTCAGTCTTCAAGTTACAAAATATCAGTTTTTCATTACAATTTAAAAATAGTAAGTAGGTACTAAACAAAAATGTAAAACGCAAACTTACTTAGGTTAAATAAAAAATAGCAGGTTTTAATTTTATTATTTATTTATGTATTTTTACAACAATTCGATTAGGTAGGTACGTATTGTTAGTTTATCACAAGAAAGAAATGCGTAAATTTAGGTGAAATTTAAGTAAACCTTGGCAGTACAGTGCTAAAAATTAAATCTAGACTTAACAGCGAAACGATGGCAGCAATTATCGTACATTTCTAAAAATATTATTCTCACTTTAATTCTGTTTCTCCAACTTTCTAATAACTCTCTCCAATTCCTGTATTGTATCTTTCATATTAGTCAAATCTTTCTCCATTTTAATAATCCTCTTCTTCAACTTTTTATTTTCCTCGAAATAACCATCGTTGACAGTCGAATTTGCGTACAACAAACGCCCCTCTTCATCCAAATGTCGCCGATTCCGGGCATTCAATCGACTAATAGTATTCAGCTGACCCGAATAGCGGCAATCGCTGCAGCACTCCGACCACAAACTCAAATCAACTTTCGGAATTTCTTCACATTGGCTAAATCCCCCTTGAAGTTCCGGCAAAATAAACGAGTTTTTGGAAACGCGAGTAATATTATCCCCGTTATCGCACAAGACACGACTCAGCGAATACTGCTTGATTTGCACGAGTTGTTCGGGTTTAAAAACAGACGGATTCTCGTAATAGAACCGATCTCCTTCCCTCAGTCGTCTAAACTGCTCGATCAAAAGACACTGGAAGAGCGGCCCAACTCGGCCACCCTCAACCGGGTCTTCCAAAACTCCCCCAACCCACACATCGATGTTCCCAGGATGGCCATACAAGTCTTGCAACTTTCGTAAGACTGTGCGATCGGTGATTTCATTCCTGAGATCCTCGAAACTGTCGACTTGGGTCATGTTGCAAAACTTGCGAAACTCGATGTAGCCTGGAATAGCGTGGTCTCTGGACCGGTGGATATTCATCGCGGCTAAATCCAGAGCGACGGCATGTGCTGTTTTGAACAGTTGTTCTGTGAGTTCCGTGTTTAAATTCTCGTCGGGTTTCTTGACTTTGGCAGGGACGGTGAAAAGGCCTCGGAGGAGAGGGTCTATGCCCCCTTCGTCGACTATGCGCCAAGGCGAGAAAAAGGCCTTGCGGAGAGGCAAATGACCTTCTCGGATCGGTTTAAAGTCCCAATCCAGTCGATGCAAAACCGGGTTAATGAGAGTGTGACCGAAACGGAGAGCCGCGGTCGCGAAGACATTCGATATGCTCGGGTTTATAGTCGGATCATAACCTTTATAGTCACCGAGAAGCCGCATTCCTTCCTCTCCAATAATAAACTTGAGCCAGTGATTGTACGTTATGTGTTGCATTGCTGCACCTATGATTTTACGAGACTCCTGGTAGACGGTATCGCTGTCCCATTGTGGGTTCAGCTGTTTCAACTCTCGCGCCACTCGATTGTGTTCCCGCATCCATAAAGTATGCATGGCAATGAGTCCAGCTTGCTCGTTTGCACGAATATCACCAGCAACAAAGCAGTTGACGGTACTCTCGGAAAGGTTTCTCCGACAGTCAACTCCCTGGTTTCCGGCGTAAGGAAGCAAGGGTTTGCGACCGGGAAAAACGGCACCTTCACGAAGCCGTCCTCCGTCACTGTTCAAATCACGCAAATCCCTTGCTAATTCCTCCGAAAATCCATACACTTGAGACGCGTCGATGTACGAAGTCAACTGGTTGATTTGCTCGCGATGTTGGATGTTGTCGAAGAAGACAGAAGTCATGCCGGAGCCACAAATGGCTGAAGATCTGATAAAATCGATGCAACGTCGATTTGTGACTCTTGGATCGTTGGGGGGGACGTCCATAGGGTAGCACGGGGCGGCATAATCGCACGATTTCTTACAATCGATTCCATCCCAACTTTCGGAACTAACTGAAGGTATAGCATGGTCGAGGTCATGGTCAAGGAATTGACCCCATTGCATCACCATATGGGTTATTTCACTATCTGGGGTGATCTTGCTTGTCGCAATAAGCGTAGTTGAGACTAATCTAGAGCTGGGTTTTGGATACCCGTAATATTTCGTGTCTTTGTTCCAACCAACAGGAGTACTGAAACCATTTTCGTAGATGGGTTTGAGGATTCGCCGAAAACCGGTTAAAGAAGCCCCCCACATGGGGTGTTGCAAGTTATTACAAGTACCATCAATGGTACGGTATTTGGAGTGGAAGCACATATCGGAGCAATTCCGTGCCAGTCTGTGTGTCATACAACCCGACAATTCCGCGACTAGATTCAAATGGTCAGGGGAAAGGATTTCCCTGTAGTTAAAATCGTAACTTCCGTTCATAGTCATTCCTTGTTCTATGTGTTTCCGGATGTTCACTAAAGTGCGTTCATAAACCTCTGCAGCCCGAGCTAATTCACGTGCTGGAGCATCGGGGAATCTAACCAATCGAAACAACTCAGCAGAAGTGTGTGGACCCTTGTGATTAAATAAATTATCAATAGTCTTATTTATTGCTTTGTCCACCTCGTGTGAGGCTTCATCGAAGGCAATTTTGACAAATTTATCCCCAATTCCGAAATCAGTTGGATTCTGGTTCTCTTTCACAGTTACGTAACAAGACGCAGTACTTCTCCCATAATCATTAATAGCAGCACACTCGTACCGCCCTTGATCATCTGGAACGACTCCATAGATGTACAAATTTCCAGTAAGTGAGACTTTGGTACGTCCAGTTCTTTGTAAACTGGACCCATCTTTCTGCCATTGTATCCCAGGAGTAGGGTCACCGTCTGCTTTGCAAGGCAACTCAATGGTACTACCAACCAAAGCTTCAATGTTGTAAGGCTTGTAGATGAATTTTGGTGGTTTTCGGGCAAGTGATGTTATTTGGACTTTTGCGCTTACTTCGCGAAAACCGATGTGGTTTCTTGCTTCGCATATGTAGAGGCCTGAGTCTGATTCTTTGGCGTTGCGGATCTCTAAGTAGCTTCCGTCCTCGGAGATGAAAAGTCGGCCATTGGAGCGTACTTCTAAGTCGTCTTTGAACCAAGTGATCTCAGGAGGAGGTGATCCGACAGCAACACATTCTAATTTGACGTTGGAACCAGGGTTTGTTTCTGTGTTTTGGGGATGGGCGGTGAAAACTGGAGCAACTGGAAAACATTTGTGAGAATAAAGTGAAAAAAAGTACCTGGGTACGTTTTGAAATGAAAAATTGTTTCAAAATGAACAGTAAGAGAAGATACTGTGATTCAAAAAACACATTTTTAAACCCTTCCTGTTTTTTCGTATTTATACACGAAATAATGCAACTACACCTTTTTCAACTGTAATTCAGAAAGCGTAAGATATATTTCAGAAAACTTTAAATGTAATTTAGACTAGTCTCTTGTATTTCAGAAAGTATTAATTGTAATTTAGAACCGTAAACTGAATTTCAGGAACCATCAGATGTAATTCAGATTAATTAATTTAACTTCAGAAAGCGTAAATTGAAATTCAGATTAGTCAATTGTATTCAGAAAGTGTTAATTATAATTCAGAGTTTGTCATTTATAATTCAGAATTCGTCAATTGTAATTCAGAATTCGTTATTTTTATTCAAAAATTACATTACCAAAATTCCTTAGAAAACAAAATATCTTATTTATTTTGCAAAATGACAAGTTTGTGTAATTACTTAATTTTTAAATTAAAATAACTCGTGTTTATGTGTAAACTTCATTTTGAGATAACAGTAAGTTACTTATCTGAATTACAATTGATATTTTCTGGATTACATGTAACATGAAATTGAATTTATTTACTGTTCTGAATTACATGTAATTCTGAATGTAGAATCATAAAATTATAGAAAACTTACTAAACCCCAGCAATATTATTTATTCTAAATTTTCCGAAAATCACCAAAAAAAAATTTCAGCTTCTACTCACCACTAATCAGTGGTATTGTTACTTACCATTTACTATCACATCCGCTTCTGCACTAATCCTTCCATTCGAATTAGTAGCATCGCATCGGTAAGTACCATGATCACTTGCTTTAACTGGTCGAATCACTAGAGTCCCATCTTCGTCAATAAAATGCCTCTGAGATGTCGTCAGTTGTATCCCATTGCGAGACCAAGTTATGGTAGGATGGGGGTTACCAAAAGCTTTACAATGTAGATTAATTGAAGGATCTGATTCACTTGTTGTAATACTGACAGGAGTTACAAGAAATACTGGACTACCTATTAAAAAACAAGAAGCTGTGACAACAGTACAAGGAATAAATCAATTGCTACCATTTTCACCCCGGAATTGTTGATCTGGCCGTACCAGAATCATCCTAGCAGGTCTAGACTTGACCTCTCCATCCTCATTCTTCGCCATACATTCATAGTGTCCACTGTCACTCTCATCAGTGTGTTTAATCACCAACGATCCATTCTCCATAATGTCATACTTGTCGTTGTTCATCTCAATTTCCTTGTCATCACGCATCCAAAAAATGGACGGTTTTGGGTCACCAGTGACTCTGCAAGTGAATACAGCAGTGCTCCCCCATGAAATTTCAACGTCTTGAGGTCCTTCCATGATTTCTGGTGCTTCTAAAATTTTCGAATTTTACTTAAGTATATTTAAAAAAATATATATCGCTCAACTAACTACAATGAAAATCATGCGTGGTCATCCCTTTGAGAGGTTTTCCATACATTTCATGGGGGTAACGACAGTTGGCAGCGACGTGGATGGTGTTATCGTTTAGCATTTTCGCGAACCATGCGATTCGGCAATCACAGACCAGAGCGTTTTGGTCGAGCCGTAATCGAGTTAGTTTTGGCAGATTTTGGAAGGCACCTGTTGGGATATGGCTTATGTGGTTGTTGTAAAGAAATCTAAAACTCGATGTTTTGTTTATTTGATCATGGATTGTGTGTTAGTTTACAGTCGGTCCAGCTGCGGGATGTTTGAAAAAGTTCCACTTTTAAATTCTTCTAATTCGTTATTGTGCAAGTATCTAAAATAGAAAAAATCACGTCAGAATGACAAAATGTACTCCTCGTGTACTTACAAATGTTCTAGTTTGGGTAGTCCGTGAAAAACTTCATCTTCAATATATTTTATCCTATTTTTATAAAGATAGAGATGTCGAAGTTGCACAAGGCCAGTGAAAATCCCATTTTTCAAGCTTTTCAGGGAGTTGTTGTTAAGTAGAAGGGATCGTAAGGATTTATGGCCTTTGAAACTGCCAGGAACGATATCTCTAATCTTGTTAAATCGTAGATCTCTGAAAAATTCTATTTTAAAACTTTCATTCCCCAAAACTAAATATTCAAACGATTTTTCCAATTTCATTTTCACCCAAATGACCAACTAGCAATGCTTTGTTTGTTTAGTGTCAGCATTTTCAGTACCTTGTTGATAGAAAGTGTGGATAGTTGGCTCTAAATATAATTTTAAAGCAGTGATTGATGGTTCTACTATTTTCGTGTGCTTTGTATATTTACTTATATCTCGAGAAAAATTAGAAAAAAAAAGTGTATTTGCTTAATCGTTTAGATTAGAGCTGCAAATATGTAGCTACTTTCAAGAAAAATGTTAGTTAGCACTTTCTTTTTGCATACTTTTCATTTTTAATGCAATAGAAATAATAATTAGCTGATAAGTTTCTGAGAACTCTTATGTTATATACACAAATTTTTCTCCTACTTTTTTGACACTTCAGATCACATTTGACATTTGTTTAATTTATACTTTTTATTTTTTTATAGTAATAAACAAGAATTCATTCTTTACAAGATATTCTTTATAACACAAATAAATAAGTAGATATAACAAATAAATTAAAATATTAAAAAATGTCCAAATCAACTTCCGACACTTTAAAATTTTAGATATTATTAGATACTTGTATTTCATACAGTTGTCCCACGAGTAATAATGAGCTTGAAAATTTTTTTGAACCAACCAACATTAATGTAATCAAAGATAACGTGGATATTAAAATACTTCGTCTTAATTAGTTAAACATAGTAATCGTATTTTTATTTTTGACAAATTTCAGTCAGTGAAAATGACTTTATTCCAGTTTAGGGAGACCGCTATGGGAGACTGTCTATTTGGATATCGCACTGGATAGAAACGTGCTGTCTGTGAAGCGTTTTTTAAACATTCTTCATAAATGAGAATCTTGTTGTTTTTTTTGTCAACATTTTAATAATTACCATCAAATTCTCCAAGGTTTGACCCTCTTTATAAATTAAAGTTGAAGTTCTCTTTAGTCACGTTATCTTTGAAATGTAATGTTGCTTCAAAAAAATTTCAGGCTCATTATTACTCGTGGGACATCCTGTATAAGTTTATAAGTATTATATTCAATACCTACCAACATGTCTGTGATTGTGTGATTATTATTTCTCGCGAGAAAAAAATATTTAGTTGCGTTTATTTTGCAATTTTTATGAACACTCGCTCTCGTTACACAAGCATGTTATATTGATATTAGTAAAATTTTAATTAACACTATAAGATAACCGCAATCAGTTGTTAAATGAAACAGATTTATTGCTTGGTAGAGATTTGCTAGTAATGTATCTGTTCAAAGCGTTATTAGTAAACTATAAATATATACCAGATACTATATAATGCATTCTCCATGGTATACTTTAAATAAGATTCACATCCGGTGAAGTTGATCAACTTAACAATATTGACACACCTTTATTAGACAGTCATTTGAATAAAATTGTGTTCCGTGTTTGTCGAATTATCGACGTTTGGTGATTTGGACGCTTATCATTTCCGCTTCGATTTAGGATTGCCTGATGTGGTTGTAATTAGATGTTAGATGGTTCATCGCTTTGATGATTTATTGCGGTTTTTATTCGTAGCCATGCTGTAAGATATACCAGTTATTACAATTCTTAGATTAATACATTTGATTAAAATTATGGTGTAACAAATTTAGACACATTTATTGCTTCGATTCAAGTGCTTTCCAATGGAGAATATAATAACATGAACTACATAATATAAGCACGTTTTCTTAGATTGGGAATAACATCATTTGAGTGACGCATTGTATGTTTATAAGTCCATTAAACGACAGTAGATATTTTTCCGATATTGTCACATTCAGCTGTTGATTGCGACTTCCACTTGACACGAATCGCACACATGGGATTCAGATGTTAAAAAAAAGTAAAAAGAAATTTTTATTTCCATTGCCAAATTGTTTATTTTGTGTGACTTGAAATACTTGAATTACACACAATAATAATAATACACTACAATATTTCCTACAGGTACTTATCTACCAAAATACATATATCGTCCATCCCGTGGAAAAAGTGACTGTCTAATACAGGGTGTTTCACGTAATTTTACGAGGCCTGCGCCTGTAAGATGCAATCAATAATACATATTCAGATACGAATTCGATTACAAATTTTAAAAAATTGGATAATCTTCTCTAGTTTGTTCACCCTTTCAAAAATTACAACATTTTTAGTTAGTTAGTGATTAAGATAGATAAACTACAATCATACTCATGCCGTGACTTGATAGAACAAATTATAATTGTTTCTGAAAAACTGCAATTTATGACTATTAATGAAACAGTGATTAGTTTGACAACTACTGTCATGGGCTTCCAAAAATTAAATAATTAGATGTGTATTTTTTGTATACAGTCTTCTGTGACTTTTGTATATTTGGGTGCGTACATTAGGCGCAAGCCTCGTAAAGTTATGTGAATTAACCCTGTATTTTTGTTTCGTTTGGTTTCTGGTGCAACTTACCGATTTTTTAGAACACATTAAGTACACCATCATAACTGCTCATAATACTCATCCATACCCCTTTCGGTTTTTGGCTTTTCTTTAATTTTATGTTTTTACTGGCAAACTTTTAAGAATGAGTCTTATATTGTTGAATTCAGAAAAAAATTCTTAAAAAAACAAATTTATCTCTATTTATAAAAATAAGTTAGCTTCGTGTCTTGTATATAGTGAAAATGCATTTTTTAGTGAATTATTATTCAGTAATGAGTGTGCAGTGTTTGATTTCTACCAAAATCATATTTGAAACGATACAGTAATCCAATAAACTCAACATAATAAACTCTAAAAAGGCTTCATTAGTCCTCAGCTTCTTAGTATTTTGATTCTCTTTTGAAATATTATTCTTTCTTGTTCAAATCAACTTCATCGAATGCAAACAGTATCTTTGAACATATTGAAATCAACTTTCCTCTGACGGTAACATTTATCTTATTAGACCTTTTTCACGCGCCGGTGTTGAGCAAACAATAAAAGCGAGTTTTCTTGCATCATCATTAGTTATTAAGAAAGTCGAAAATAAATCTTGTTTGCACGATTGACTTCCATCACGATCTGTCTACAAGTTTAAAAGATGAATACAAAATATCGATAATGTTTAATAAAAATTGTTTTGGGAGAAGAGTCCAAATTGTAAAAAAATAAGAACTAATTTTTCATTTTTAAAGCAAAGGTGTTGGACTCGAGATGATGCCCAGTTGTAGTTTTATGTGTATTATTTTGTTATATTTTTACACTATTTTACTCCCTTTTATCAGTATAAGAAATGATTAAAAAAAAAACAACTCTCAGAATTTTTCTTTCAACTAAAGCGAAAACCCGTGGATACGAGTACCTCTCGTAAATACGCCATTGCCTTATGTGTTATTCTCTGTTGTGTTGTTTTCCTATTTATATTTATTCCTCATCAATTTTAATTTCGTATTGCCTTTCCCTGTATTTCAATTTCATAGTTTTTTATTGTTGTTCACATTTCTCGAAGGTTAGCACGAAGTTTATTGTTAATTATTTTGCTGACTAATTAGTTACATATAGTTTTACATTTCCGCAAAAAGGTAAATATACCTGCCAATTGGTTTATCTTGTCGATTGCGAGAAAATTCTAAATCTTTCGCTAAAACTCACAAGTTTTAAAACAATGAAATAACTTTATAAATAAATGTTAAGTGACTTTTGTATACATGTTTCGAGACCATTGATCGATGATTTAAACAGAGATTATTTGATCGTAGTCTAGAGATATTTTTATCTTCAGCAGTAAACACATTTTTAGCACTACATTATTTGACAGGATAAAAAGACTGCATACTAATTTATCTTGTAAACTTTTATGTAAACTTTATAGTTTATGCAATATTTAATTAACACTGCATTTTTACTCTGGATATCTTATAGAAAATTATAGCCCAATACATATCTTAAAACCATAAAATATATTCATAAAATTGCAGTCTCCTGTAACCATTAACCTTAATTGATCTTGATCGTTGATCCATCGAATCAAATTGAATTTGGCACACTTATTAATGAAGGTGAAGGCCAAAAGTGCATCTATATGCAAAATTTATCGGATAATAATTTATTTAAGTTTTGCATCATAATCCTGTTTATGACTCCTTAAAAAAGCGAGCTTCCTTTTCTTTTATAGTTCTAACGTTATTACCATCGAGCATTTAAAAGCCCTTGCTGCGTGGTCGATTTTTAAATATGCCCTCTCGTCATAATCTATTGTATTATGCTCTTGTGTATAAATAATATTTTCCCAGGAATACCATTACATAATGAAAATTTAGATTATTAATTTTTATTAATCAAGTTGTCATATTGGTTGTTTTTAGAAATCGAGAGTTTTATACATTTGAGATATCCTGTAGGTATAAATATACCTAATGTAAATTTTAATTAAAGAAAAGTATTTGTTTAACTAGAGTTCCAATCAAATAAATCATTTTAGATTTCTTATTATTTTCAACATATTCTTGTCGTTTACAGTTAACAAAAAAGTCAAATTAGGTAATAAAAAATAGACACGTCGATATGTGCTTTTATGACTTTAAAACTCTCTATTTTGCTTTGTAATTAGAATACCCACATAAATTCGAGTCTATTAGCATATTACGTCACATCTTTGTCACATGTGTTACTGACCATCATCAGACCGCAAAAACACCAACTTTAGATATCTTATGTGAAGAAATAAGTTCTATATTTATGAATGATATTGTAATTCTTAAAACCACCGTTACAATTTCTTAAGATAAAAATGAAATAATATCATGGTTCGGCTTGGTTAACCACTAACCAGAAGTAATTAACACAAAACGTTCAAACTACTCCATAAATAATAATTTTTGAAAAATGTCCAATTACACAAAACGCCTTATCTAAAATTTGAATACAATCTATCTTCGAATCTTTGCCGGTGTTTGAAGCAGCAGTGCACAAACGAGTCATATTTACATAATATTATATTAATTAACATATTCATTTCGTATTTTTTGCCTTAACTATAGGTGTAGTGTTCTATAATTAGCTGTCAGACGGGAGTCCAGTATTAGAAAAATAAGTCTGGACTGCCTATCTAATTATCAATAAACAACTTAATAATCAGTTATTTTTGTAAAAGCGATTAAACTAATCTATAACAACTATAATTGGAAAAAGACTTTTATGTAAAAAATAACTCAAACTGAATAATTTAATTTAAAATTTCAATACAAAAATTTAATTGACTACAATACCCATCACTCTAAATTAATTTGATAAAGTGTAGATGAATGAATGGTCAATTTTACAGCTTAAGTCAATTGTTGAAATTATTAAAAAATAAACAAATTTAATGAATGAATCATCACGTTAAGGTTGCCATCACTTGTTCGTTATGCGTTCAACGCCTTATTTGGGCCCGTTTAAGAATACTAAATTAAACTTGGACCAAAATTGAATTGAATTATTATGGAACGATTACATGAGAAAATAAACAAGTCAATGCAACAGTAACTCACTTAATAATAGCCCAGTTAAAATTAATTTTATGACAAAATTTATGAACCGATTGTTTAGAACGACTCGCTGTCAAAAATACCAATAAAAATTAAGCTAATTGTTTAGTGTTAAAATATTGTAAAGAAAAATTGTTTGTGGATGAATGACATTACAAGCAATTATTCAAAGACAATGACAACTTAATTAAATTTAATTTAAATTACGAAAAAATAGAGTATTTTTTAGTTTCTAAAAGGATTAATCAGTAATTAAATTTTTTTCTTAGAAAATTGATAAAATAAATCTGTTGGTAATACTTTTTGATAGTATTCCACTTTGTCTTCGATCCACACCCTACAGCTTAAATATTTACGACAATATATCAAAGTTTACGCTTCATGAATTCATAAAGGTTATCTCGAATTCATGGGTCGTGATATTATATCGCTTGACACATATTTGACAGATCTCCTGGGACTTAACTACTGACATTAATATACCTTTGTGATATTTCTCCTCAACTCGCCTACCAATTGCTTACTTAACATAACAAGATTATTTTAAATCACCATGCCTGAATTAATAATATGAGATCAACATACAATTTGAGATAGATTACAATATGAATGTACACAATTATAGACTTGGTGGAGTTTATATCTAACATAAGGGACACCACAATCTTTAAAACCTTGCCTTTAGTAATAAATTTTATTTGGGTACATCCTCTCACATGACGGAGATTTCCTGTATTTTATTGGCTTTTTATATTCGATTGAGTAACACAACGAGGTTTTTAATGTTTTTTCGTTAATTGTGTTTAAATAAATACATCTGATACTAAGGCATGGCAGCAATTTTCTTTATTCAAATATTTCGCATCGCATTCATTCTGTGTATACTAATAACAATAACTTACCTACCTACATGTTTCAGTTCACAAGTTACCAGGAAGTCAATGAAGCATTATGGTTTCACTTAATTTTTTATGGACGTAATTATAAGATGAGACATTTATTATTTTTCCATTTCAGTTATTAATATTGTTAGCGTCATTCGTATTTCGGCAGTTCCATCTAAATCTTTTTGTTTTAAATAACTTTCAATAACACTGGACAGAATTACCAATGAAACGTTTATTAGCATAGTTATTTTAAGACTGGATATACATTTTCTTAACAAGGGACATTAACTAAAGATATGCTTCGTAACAAAATCTGTAAAACAGCAAATGCATGTTATGTATGTACAATGGAAGATGATCTTGGATCTAGTTTCGTAATATTCGAGTTCCGTTAGTCATATTTTTAAAGAATTTTAATAACATTTTTAAAACCACTTCAAAATTACTAAAATAAGAAAGTAAGAACCGAAATTATGTAGATGCATTTATGATTTCTCCAATAAATTTTTTGGAAACAAGATTTATGTTAAACACGTGTTTATGCTATTATTTTATTAATAACTCAATAAGCAAAGTTTGGAATGTTTAAAAACGGTTATTAATGCCAGATTCATAAGAAAGTAGTTATGAATTTTAATACCGATGATTGATATCCTCTTGCTATTTAAAAATAGCTGATTGTTATTTCAAAAATATTTTACACCGATTTCAATCTAAACATTGCAATGGAAAAACTGCCAAAAGCTCCATATTTTTAATAATGTAATTCATGAAGTAGTAGAACATCTCGTTAAATTCCTGCATGATTATTCTTCGACGCCTTAGGTTCATTATGAAGAAAGTTAATTATTTAAAGCATTTATTTATGTGTCAGTGACAAGATAAAGCAAGAGTTGAGTGAAATCACAGCTGCTTTATGAAATTAATAAAATTTTAAAAGTTATAAAGTCCATTTTCGCATTAATATGGAGGGTCACGAACAGATTACCAAATATTTGCACTTGCAATGAATTTGGTATTTGGCAAACAGTCTCCCAATGTTTGTATTAAATTGTCTGGCTTTACAATGATAAAAACGGCAAATTTAATGTCGAAAAGTTATCGTAAAAATGTGAAAACAACCTAAAGCGGTCGATTACTGTGTATTTACTTCACATTTTACTTTTTAAACTCTTCTTATGAATACATAGTCCTATATAACATTCTCCTCAATCTGGGAGGTACGAGTATTTTGAAATTTATCATATGTGAATTTAACAAAATAGGGCACACATTCTGATTAAAGTAAGTGCAGATATTGATGTTTTCTTTTGACAATAATGTATCAAACATTTCTGAAAAATTTAAATTTTAGATTTTAGTTCTCATGTAAAATATAAAAAAGCTGACTACTAAATATTTAAAAATATTTCAGTCATGTTTCTCATCTCTAATATAAGAAAACTTTTATTAGATATTACATATAATCCGACCAACTAAAAGTCAACAAACCAAATATAACAAATCTTAAATTGAGTTTCATTTTACCCTACAATTTTTTGAAATAATTTTTTGGACGATTTGGTCCAATGATTTATACACATGACCTTGTATCCTTGATTGATATTGACTGCAAGACAATTTTTTCACCAGAGATCAATGAATGTCTGCAGTTAATCCTGTATAAACATTTTGCCTCTGAACATCACAGTAAATAAAAACAAACATGTCTGAGGCAATTATATCTTTATGTTTATATTTATTAGAAATAAGATACACTCCCTATATTTGCTTTGTCGGTTGTGTTGTATTGTATTAAAAAAAAATCAAGTCCTTAAAGGAGCAATGCCTTTAAACTAATTTGCAACAAGTTTTGCACGTGACTGTTTCTTTTTTAAAATTCCTATTTGCATGCCATTGGGTAGATACATTTCTACAATTACTCCTATATTTTTATCTATGATCTAACGTCTCATTTCCATCCAAAAAAATGCAAATATTTTATTTCAACTTACAACATGACTGTGGGCAGTGGTGCTTTTGGGACTTCAGTCAGCTCCAGTTGCATGCATCTCACTGTTCTTCTGAAGCATACACATCTCGAAGGGCAAGGGAACTGTGAATAATTTCTTCTTTGTGCGTCGATGGCGAATCCTAATGTAAGAAAAATCAAACACAATCGCCACATTGTGGAGAAATATCGTCACTCAGCAGTCGTGCACATTTACAAAACACAATCCTTTCTCCACGACGTCTCAAGAGAGACTGGTTGTGTTATTGGCTGCTGGCGACCAAACACCAGCAACGCGTGAGCGTACAGACGCGCTTTGAAACAGATTTACCACGTTAATTCCTGCTATATTGTGGCCTGCATAGGGCATGCAGCGTGACAGAAGGTAACTGCAGGAGCGCGATTGGATTTTTTCGTGGGCGGTATTCCCAGAATTAGCAGGGATATGAAATTTGCAAAAGAAGTCAAAAAGAAGTAGATGGTCAGTTCCTAGCTCTTAGTCTTTTCTGCTCAGTAGCAGCAAGCCTTGGCCGGTTCACTGTTGAATCTTTGCTGCATTGCCAGATAAGTTAAGTATTGTATCAGATCCCCTGAATTCAGAAGACTTCTCATAGCATTTTCTCTTTTTTACAGTCAAATTCAATCAACAATATTACATTTCTTGCAGAAAATGGCTTGGCAGGAGGATTCGACTTCAGTTGAGCGAAAAAGTATTCCAAAGGAACAATTCCTGCTTCATCTGTATCATCAATTATTCATCAATCATAATAATAATTTTTTTTCCTGAAGCACCATAAATTAAAAGGATCAAATTTTGGCCATTTAAAAAATCGAATCGGTTTCACGACGTAATTGAAATTCTAAGATTTTTGAAAAAGTGTAATTTTTTCGAAGTAACCTTTTTCGAGGCTTCGTAAGAACTTAGAAAGACCTCTAAAATAAGAATATTTACGTCAGTTTCGTACAAATTATTTAACTCATGGCCGTTTTTCTACGAAGATAAACTTGGATGTTTTCTGGCTGTACTTTTTGTTGTTAAGTCTCTCTAAATTCTTTATCCCAATTCGCCTTATTGTCAGTAATTGCCAGACTGAATGCTAAAATACTCCGATCTCGAGCTCTTAAGAAAGAAGCACTTTTCATTACTTCACTGTATTGCGATATTTTTTTTAAATTAGTTGTTTTTATCCAGACCACCTGTGTCCTGTGTGTAGGTACTAATAAAAGTTACTTCTCGTATTTTTATGTAGTTTTCTTGCATTTTACAGTCCCCAATTATGTTACCTATTAAAGTTAAAATAAAATTATGAAATATGAATCTAATAGGTATTCGTACAATATGGTGATGCTGGATAAAATGTTATGTGGCATTCGTAGGTTGTTCTATACCTATAATATAATTCATTTAAGGAAGAATCGCTAACTCGATTGCGTCTCGTGACCTCTCTTTCTTGAGTGAAACCAATTTGTATCAGAAAAAACTTTTTTATATCTGTCCTTCAGATCAAAATAGTATTAACTCCAGTTTGTAAATTTGATTTTATGTACATAATTGAACAGTTAGTAAATTACCTGAAGGTTATAACGCCCTTTTATTTTCATTTAATAAATTTTTGAGAAAGTCTAAGTAGAATATTATGAATATAACAAACATTTAAAAAAAATTATAGTTTTAAAAGTGCTCTAAAGAAAAAATGCGTTTTGGTGGTTAATACCTTCTGTTTTGCTCTGAGGTACGGATATATTCTTTGGTGAAATGAAACAAGGACACATTAGATTTTGCATATTTTTAGGTTGGTCAGCGTCGATTTATGAAAAAAAAAACGTTTCGCCCGCTCTTGTAAAGTTAATCTTCAGGACAAACAGGAAAATGATAGGAAGGGCTATGGCACGATAAATTAGATACCAGAATCGAAACCATAACTGTTATGGTTATCAAGTTAACTGTTTTAGTTATGGAGTTAACAGTTATGGTTTTCGTTATCGTGCCATAGTCCTTCCTAGCATTTCCCCCTTTGGCCTGAAGATGACACTTACAAAAGCAGGCGAAACGTCGACCTTTTGTCATAAATCGATGCGGTTCAATCCAAAAACATGAGAATTCAATTTGACTCTGGCCGCGAAAGTCTACGTTCTTCTAAAACAAGAGCAATTTCTATTTGTAATATAAATCATTTCGCTTGAGCACCACTATAAACTCTTTAACTCAGTGTTGTTAATTTTTGAATTACCTACAAAAAATGTGCACAAATAGTGTTAGTCAGTTTTAAGTCTTTAGAAACAATAAAAGAATAGAGGTGACAAATTTCATACAGAAATTAAATAATATAAAGTGACACAATTCAAGGTTAATTATTGTAATACTTGAAGTGGGTACTTGAAACATGCTTTTTTTCAGAATTACTTCTTTTAAAAGTTAATTGTAGTTTTTTGTAAAACACGTTAGATATTGTTTTAATAGATAACACATAGGCAAAATATAATACATCATAGTTTTATTATACGAGTCCGATTATTTAGTTTAAAGTAAAGAACGTTAGGAAGTTTGTAAAATATTTTGTTAGTGTAAAAGAAAATCACATATAAAATTTACATAACTGTACTGTGTAGGTTTTTACATGATTCAATTCCACATTTTTGAGTATATCGAAGAGTATATGAATTTGAAAAAAAAATTGTCAATGCAACTTTTTTTGAGTTGAGCATAAAACAACATTGTTTTAAGCATGTGTATTATTATATTTGAGCCTATTATGTAACACGTGAACAGAATGCTAAACATGCCTGTGTTAAAATTATTAATTAGTTTGTTAATTTTAGTTGTTTTAACTGCAGCACCTTTTAAAGTGTTTATTACAAAATTTATACATCAAAGCCGTAAAACTGTGAATTCAACATTATAAAGTTCATCGCGGAAAGACAATACAGCTAGCAGTTGCCATTTTGAAGTTGACATTTATTGAGGTAAGGTTTGGTGACGGTTTGATATTTAAAATATTTGAAGAAAATTGTAATAAATGCAAATAGACACAATGTAGTATAAAAAAACTATATTTCCATATATGCACGGCATATTTTATTAGGATACTCTTTTACATAGTAACTTAAGTGTAGAAATAGAAAATTATGAGATGAATCATTCCAATATGATGGTTTTTAGACTATGTACATAGCAATATTAAAAAATTAATAATTATAAACGTCCATTCATCCAAATTTTTCATACACTTTCTCCTAAAATATTTACAAAGAAGACCTTAAAATACAATAACTCAAAAAGTGTAAGCCAAATACTTAACAGTACATAATCACTTTAACTACACTTCCATTTTTAAGAGTCTCCTAAAAGACCCACGTAGGTACAAATCCTTATCAAATAAATTTTACAATCTAAAATTTTAGTTCAGTCTACTATACTTGTTTTAAATAAATAGGTCTTTCCCAAATTTTTTGGCCGTTCTTCTCTTGAACCGCCCTATACGCTTCTTCAGGCGAATTAAAAATAACCTTAGCTTCCGCACTCGGAGTATTATTCGGATTGAATCTCCGACTAACATTATTAGTAATGTCATAACCGTCGAAGAAATCCAAAATCTCGTTAGTCCCAGCCTTATAGGGTACGTTGTCCATATAGACGGTGCAACCCGGAGGGGCATCATCCGTAACCACAGCGTTCATAAACCTCGGCCTCGGGGCCCTGTGTCCCATAAAGCGATGCCCACCCCGCGGTGGCCCTCCCTCATAGCTATTCCTCGGGAAGAACGGTCGGTTTTGGTTCATTGTGGGACCTCTTGGCATAAGCGGCTGTTGCAAAAGCGGAACATTTGGTGCCGGAGACTGCTGAAGAATATGCTCCATTTCTTCACGAGGAAACGGCTGAACCGAGACAATGTTTGGCCCAAAACTCGAATTGTCTTTCTTCAGTGCTTGCGCGGCGTCTTCTTTGGTTTTAAATTCACAGAAAGCCTGGCCGGTGAAACCTAACCGGTTGCTCATCAGGTGGATTTTCGTCGGTCTGACTCCGATGTCGGAAAAGAAATCGGCAATCTCGATATTGTTGGTTTGGAGAGGGAGGCGGGTTAGGTTAATACAGTCTGTGTCTAATTGGGGCACTGGACTAGATTTGCGATCCAAATCGACGTTGTGTTGTTGGCTGATGTTTTCAAATTCGCGGTCCTCGCATGGTTTAACAGTGACAGATTTGCTCCCAACTATGTGGTTCGAAGTCTCCTCCAATGCCTTTTTGGCTTCCTCAGCTGACCCGAATTTGACATAAGCTATGTGACCCCCTCTCGGTTTCGGTGTGAGGAAAAGCGCAAGTAGTGGTCGAGGCGAAAATAGTTTGAGTATGTCTTGTTCCTTGACATAAGTTGGCAAATCATCGACTGTCAAACATGAAAATACTTCCAATTCCGGCTCTTGCGCTTTATTGAAATATTTAGTGATGTTTTTGCTTCTAAATTTAGTGTTTTCATTGTTTGGTTGGTAAACCTCTGGTTGGTATCGATCCACAGCTTCATCAAACTCTTCGTCGTCGATATGAACAACCTCCACTTTAACACCGTTTAGGATTTCACCATTTTTGTGCAAAGCATCAAGTTTTCCTTGTGGGTGCCCAAACTGAATGTATACTATACCGGTCCGGTGGCCAAAATCATCATTAATGAATTTAATCCCTACGTTACTAATAAACGACCCTTGGAAAAACCTTCTAATGTCGCCATAACCCCCATAAAAGGGTTGTAATCTCACGCAACAATCGGGCAAAGGTTCGCGTTCTGCGGGAGGATATTGTTGGTCATTTTCTGCTCTTGGAAAATTATTATTGCGTGTAAATCGTCGATTTGGGAAGTTTTGACCTGGTCCTGGACGTTGTCGCGAGTCCGATAGACTGTCATCGGATCGATTAAGAAARTTAGTTTGGTCATTRTCATTCGATGTGTTTTGTGGAGGCCAACTATCCCTTGACCGGTTCATCCCAAAATTACCCACCGGAAAATTATTCCTCCCGTTGGTATTCGCTTGCCCAGTCAACGCATTCAAATTTCTCCTCGCATCATCCAAATTTCCGGGATAATTCCCGAACAAACTCGGTGGAAGTGGAGCGGCTGGAATACTGTCGTTGGAGTTCTGATTAGCCCAAACTTCTGGTATTTTTTTCCCATCTTTCTGGTTAAAATTTTCCGTTGAGCGTTTTCGGTCTCTGTTCTTGCGATCGCGGTCTTTCGAGCGGGAACGTCCTCGACTACGGCTTCTATCTCTTCGGCGGCGTTCTCTCCGTTCCCTCGACCTGGACCTGCTTCTGTCTCTGTATCTCCTGTCGCGGCGATCACGATCTTTGCGATCGCGGGATCTAGATCGGGATCGTTTCCTGTCGCGTTTGTCTTTGGTGTCTCGGTCTTTACTGTTTTCTTTTTTGAGTTCGGGAACGGCTGCTGGAATTATGGCAGGAACGGCGGCTGGCATGGGGACGGTCGGTGTTGGATTTTGCATAAATGCGGCATATGATTGTGCTCTCGCGGCTTCGATGACTTTTTGCATTTCGGTTCGTGAACTGAGCATGAGGCTGATTTGGACTTCTTTAATTTTGCCATTGTTTCTCGCGAAGGCTTGACGCGCATCTTCGTCAGTACTGTAAAAAATGATTTTAACTTATTACAATTGATGTTAAATATTAAACTCCATAAGGTTTCGGGGTCAAGCTCTTATTTAAGGCAATGCAGTCCGGTCCAAAACCAAATATTTTATTTTAAACAAAATGAAATGTTTTTTAGAAACGAGTTTTTTAATCGCTAAAACAGTGGTTCTTAAGTCACTTTCTTGCAGATCCTTATAAGCTTTCTGTTTTTTTTTTGAAAACTCTTAACAATTAAAAAAACTCATGTCGCTATTAAAAAGAGAATAAACTCGACTCAACCTTTGAACTAATTTCGATTTTAATTAAAACCATCTTCAGCAACAAGTGAAGTGCAAGGGTGTGTTATAAGGAATGAAATTACATGAAAATTAAAAATATAAATAAAAACGTAAACAGAAGAGTATTAAAGGTGTGATTAGAACTCATTGAAAACATGTCACTATGGTTATTTAATTAATGCGTTTATCCAAATTTACTAAATTGTTTCTGTTTATTTTGTTATTCCAATCCCTAGGAAGAATCATGTGCCCCCTTCCAGGGTTTCGTTGCTCTAAAATAGTCTCTTAAATCTGTTAACAGAATTGCTTAGAATTAATAAAAACCTCGTGACTTTTTTGCGCAATGTCAACATTACAAGTTTCCTAGACGAAATAAATATAAAAATATGATTTCTGCGATAAAGAATCTGTATTAGGTATAATGAGATTCTACTGACAAATTACAGATCCATATTTCATGAGAAAACTATACAGGTGTACCGTTTTTATTGTTACAAATTAAAGCAGGTGATAGAATATTGAATTTTAAGATAAAATTTTCCTATGAACATGTATCGAAAAATAGTAAATAAGGGAGTTACATCCCCTAAAAGGAGTGCATCTTTTAATAGAGTTTTTCCAATATTTCAGGAACCATTGTAGATAAAATTACAAAATTTAGTACAACTGATAATCTTTACACACTCAAATGAATTCAAAGATAAAATGTCGAAATTTGTACTCAGGGGCGTCTTAAACTAGGAGGGTATAGGGTACAAGTACCCTAACTATTTTGACTGCTGGTTTTGCCACTTTCAGGCACAAAATTCTAAAATTCATACTTTTTTACAAAAAAGGGGTTTCTTGTGCTTTTTCGATACAACTTATCGTTTTTGAGTAAAATCAGTTTACAATTTGTCTTACAGATCAAAAAGAGGATAAAAATTAAATTTGTCACCGTTTAAGACACCCGTGATTAAAAATTTCGATAACTGATCTTTGAATTCGTTCAGGTGTTATCAGCTGTACCAACTTCTGTAATTTTATCTATTCTGGAATAGTGGGAAAACCCCATTTAAAAGCTCGCTTACGTAACATTTTTTGATACATGTTCATATGAAACTTTTGTCTTAAAATTGAATATTCTATCACCTGTTTAAATTTGTAACAATAAAAACGGAACACCCTGTACATTTTTGTAGAAAAGTTACTAGCTTAGTCTCGAGATTAAATTTTGATGTTCATGTGATCACTGATCAGTCAACTCTTAAAGCAGCTAAAAATCGTAATTTTTAATTCCTTCAAATTGTCGAAATTTTATTTTATTGAAAAAGTAATCTTGATAGCTTTTTAACTTTTTTGTTAATAAATAATACGGTAGCAGTTTTGTTAGTTTTTTTGGCACTAACTATTATATTATCTATGAAGTTTTTACATTACCAGAATTTCTACCTAATATGGCATCATAAATAATCGCTTTTCCATTTAAACACAACCAGACGCATAATTTATGGAAAAATGGTATTACTACAATAGCCGGTCTTTTCGAAGTCTCTTATTTACAGCTTCGTCCCACAATTGAGAAGATTTTACTTACTTATTTACTTTTCTCTTTTTGTTTAATACATTATATTTCTTCTTCTTATCATTATTATGTTTTTTATTTTAATTTTTCTTACATTTTGTGTTATGTTTTGTATTGGATTAAGTTGAGTAGCCTCGATTAAACTTCGCCCAAATAATGACTAAATAAATAAAAAAAATTGATGTCTGCACCAGACCAACCAACGGTTGGAAATCGTACCTACTATTATTGTACTCTTATTTCAGTTCCCATTGGCATATAAATTTACATCGGCTCAATTAAGTAAATCATAAATAAAAATAATTTTCAAAATTTAAATGTAAACGTGCGTTTAAATTTAAAATCCATGTAATTGTGTTTTTTATTGATTTCGAAAACAGTTATTAGAAGTGAATCTTCGAAATCAGCATAAAAATTAGAATTTTTTGATTTTTTACTTTGTTGAAAAATCATTAAAAAATATGAAATATACCTTACCAATGTCTAGATAAGTGTGTTAAATATTCACAATTTTAGACTACTACTAGAAGTATAAATTTTTGGCCTGTGCCTAAGAGTTATGTTTTTTGCTAGTATTCTTTCTCAAGTTTTCAAAATTTCCTTTCAGTACGCTATCGTTATAGCGTTTCAAATCAACATGTCATTTAAATATACCCTATTTAAATGATTTTAACTGATGAAGTCATAAGTGAAGTAAGAGGAGCTTTTTAACACATTTTTGGTAAAAGTACGAAACACGGAAAATAAAGAAGTACCATTCGGAGAAATGCGTTTTCAATTAACATTCCGTGTATAAGCCTCTTTTAAATAAAACCATACTGTATGAAACTTCGTGTTGCTTCATGACCTTTAACGCACTTATAAATAGTTATTGCTGAAGACAGTTTTAAGTTGAATATTAACTAGGCGGCGTCATTAAATTTTTTATTCAAAGATTATAGTAAGTGTGTAAACTCCATTTGCTAGATAATGTTTTCAGGACCTTTTTTTCCACAAAGTATAAGTACAGGGTACAGGCTTCGAATCACATAGAAGCTGAAGGAAGATTATCTTATTTTTTCTTGAATTTGACTTTTAAGCCAATTGGATCTGCTTTTTTTACGTCTCAAAACATTTGCAAAAATGGACAGGTAATAATTAAAGAACTATGTCAATGAAAACCGCTGAAATGAGTAGGTAAGTAATTTCAAAAGCTCTTTACAAATTTCTAATAGTAAGGGTTTTTATGAAAAATAACTGTAATAGGGCATAATTAAATACACTCAGGCCTGGGGGTAAAACAACGTAAAGCAATAGTTCCTTATAGGTAGTCTGCCGGCCTCCAAGGGTCCACAAGTTTAATTGGAAAATATTTTTTTTTGCCTGTACTAACCTACTAGGTCTATAAATAGTGCAATAAATACTGTTAAAAAAAAATTGTCCATGGAGTCCTTGTTATAATATGACGTTAGCATCCTAACCCCATCGGGTTCCCCCAAAAAATTTGCTGGAATCACTGACGCAAATAACTTCTAATCTGCTAATAAAATAATGCTAAAAAATGTTTAAACGAAACACTTGATGAATTCTGTATGTACCGTAGAATGAAGTAAACCGTAGAAGAAAGGTAAAATCGGTCATTCGCATTTTTTTAAATTTAATTTGACCTGCCACCTATTGTGAGGTAGACGAGCGTTTGTATTACATCAATTCTGTTTCATAAGTCTAGAAAGAAACAAAATCAGATGATTTTCTGAAGATACGTACAGTTTTCTTTATAAAATAAAACCAAATTTCCCAGCACCGAATAAAATAACCATAAATCGTCTTTCGTTGTGCACAAACAAAAACACAGGTGAAGTACAGAACGGTGGAAAACATATGAAAAACAGCAGGACTGCTTATAAAAACATAAATTTGTGTTAAGTTTTTTTTTAAATCTATGAAAATATAGAAAAATACTTAGGGCTCAGGGGAAAACAAAATTAGCATCCCCGTGATCTTGAAAATGCGGTAAGAGTAGTGAAAAAAGATTTGAGCATACGAGGGAGCTTCAGAAATTTACGCCGTAAAGCAAAAATATGTAAGCCATAATGGAACGACAAATGGTATTACAGGAGAAGAGGAAAAACAATTGGTCAAAGGTATATTTGACTGCAAAGTAGGGTTTTATCCTAGTATCTACAGATTTGAGAAAAATTGTATACAAGGTTATTTTAACAACTCTGGCAAAGTAGGAAAACGCTTTAAAAACAATTTTAGACGTGGCCATTACGTCTTTTTAAATTTAAATGCAAAAGGCGTTGAATAATTTTTATTTTCTACTGCTTTTTTTATGTTTATTTCAATGTTTTCAAATTTTATATAATTTTTTTAACATTTTTTAAAACGAAATATACCGATTGACTTTATCATACATAGTATGTTTGAGTATACAACCGATTTTGATATAAAAGCAACCTATGGGGTAAAGACGTTCTACGGTCCTCATAGCTATTACATCTTAAGATCAATATTTATTCCATAACAGCTGTGATAGAAGTATTCCTATTCCTTATGCTCATATTTTATTTGTAGCACTGTGAGCAAAAAACCATAAGGATGTCTAAATAAAATTTCAATTCACATGCAAGGCCTGTACGTAAAAAATGATTCAATGATTCACATTCCTAGCCTTAAAACAAAAATGTTAAATGTATAAAATATGTACCTATGAGTTTATCCAAAAAATTATTAGAGGTTGAATAATTAGATATACCTAGTCGGAAATAGTTTTCCTAATGTACCTATTAAAAAAAGATATTTCGACGAAACCTTGCCTTGTAAACTATTCGAAAAAACCACACAATATGCAAAAGATAGAGAAAAGCTTATCTTTGATAAATAAGACTGTCTCGGAGATGTATCACGTTGGAAGCTAGTTACCGAATTGAATTGCTAAATGCAGTAGTCGTGAAATAATGATTTGCATTAGATAATTATAATTAATAATAATTAAACTCCCTTCGTACGTTGCTATCTTCCTTTAAACTGTAGACACACAGTACTTTTTTTAGATTTCTCTTTATTTAATTAACACTTTGTTTTTCACTAAAGGTTGATAACTTTTATCACAAAATTTCTACTAGCAAAAATAAATTCCATATCTAGAAGGCAAACAATTTATTTCACTA